AAAGCTACTCTAACTTGGGGTTCTTAGAAAGCTAACGCCCACTGGTGTTGGATACCTTTATCAATCTTTATCTTTACCTTCTCTCAAGTTTCAGAAGTCTTTGTCACATCTAAGAAAGATAAAGTAGCAGTACAGACCTCCTTTTCCGGGTCTAAACCTACGCCTTCCTTTCCTTGTTAGAAAGGACCAGAAACAATAATTGCAGAAAAGATTATCGTCAGAACTGAAATTTGGGGTAGGCGTTGGGCCGAGAACCGACATCCCAGGGTACAGTGCAGGTTAGTGTCTGCCTTGGCCTCGGTTCCAGCTTCCTGCTGTGTTTGACTCTGGGCTGCAACTTTGAGAACTCAGGAGTGGACCCTGGCCACCCGCCTGGCAGACCTGGGGTGCAGGCAGTCAGGCAGTGAGCCCGTGCCCCAGAAGCACTGGCTTTCTGTCTCATATACTTAAAAGAAAATCTACCCTAGTTCAGTCTTAAAATATTGAAAATGTGATAGCTGCAGCACTCATACATAATTCTCATCCTTTTTTAAAAAAAATTTTTTTTTGAGAGTAGAGATTTACAGATAGTCTTCCATTTACTGTTTCCCTAAATGGCTGTCAGAGCTGGGTTGGTGCAAAGCTAGGAGCTTCTTCTGGGTCTCTAATCCATGTTGTTGCAGGGGCTCAAGCACTGGGACCGTCCTCTGCTGCTTTCCCAGGTGCATTGGCAGGGAACTGGATTGAAAATGGAGCAGTTGGGACTCTGTTGCCCATATGGGATACCAGTGCCATAGATGGAGGCTTAACCTACTGTGCCATGGCACTGGTCCCAATTTTTTTTTAAGATTTATTTTTTATTAGAAAGGTATATTTACAGAGAAGAGAGACAGAGAGAAAGATTTTCCATCTGCTGGTTCACTCCCCAAGTGGCTGGAACAGCCACAGCTGTGCTGATACGAAGCCAAGAGCCAAGAGCCAAGAGCTTCTTTCCCGTGCTCCACGTGGGTACAGGGTCCCAAAGGCTTCGGGCCGTCCTCTACTGCTTTCCCAGGCCACAAGCAGGGAGCTGGGAAGGAAGTGAAGCAGCCAGGATATGAACTGGCGCCAATAAGGGATCCTGGCGTATGCAAGGCAAGGACATAAACCGCTAGGCCATTGTGCTGGGCCTATATACCCCAATTCTTAATCTTTTGACTTGGGAATTCCATGCCTATAGTGTTAACTGAAATGCCTATGGAAGGTTTTTTTTTTTTTATATTTTCTGATTTTAGAGATTTAAAATTTGAAAAAAATGTGCCAAAATAAATTATAATCCAGGAGGTGGCGCCTGTGAGAGTTGAAAGCAGCAGATTAACTCCTTGTGCCAAATGTCCAATCCTGTTGTGTCCTTACTGAAATAAGAATAAAAATTGGAATCGCAGGGCCAACATGGTGTTTTAACAGGGTAAGCCTCCACCTGCTTATGCTAGCATCCATATGGTTGCCTTTTTGTATCCTGGCTGCTCCACTTATCGATCTAGCTCCCTGCTTATGGCCTTGGAAAGCAGTGGGAAATGGTTCAAGTCCTTGGGACCCTGCACCCATGTAAGAAACCTGGAGGAAACTCCTGTCTCGGTTTTGGACCGGCCCAGCTCTGATGGTTGCAGCCATTTGGGGGAGTGACCCAGCAGATGGAAGATCTCAGTCTGTGTTTCTGCCTCTCTGTTAGCTCTGCCTTTCCAAGTTAAATTAATAATTGCTTCTAAAATTGTAGTCTCTTGCTTCCAACAACACTTACCCAGCTTTGAACTTCCTGCAGTTTATTTTGGGTGCCCCCTCTAGGAGGTAGTCTGCGCACGAGATCAGGAGTCTTTGGCTCTTGTTCACCGAGATTACTGAAGCAAAACAGTGCCTGGCAAGCAGTGGCTGTCCACTGAGCTGTCACAGGAGTGAGTGAGGAACTGGTGTGTGAGGAACTTAGCAGGTCAGCAAGAGATTGTACAGCTGGCAAATAAAATATTTTGAGTGAATATCTCAATGTAATGTCCTTCTAGTATTAGAAATTGATTTCTTTGTTTTGGGCTTAATAAACTTATAGACAACTATCTTCCCTCTCCAAATTTAGTTTTTTGTTTTACTTGTATGTGAAGGCTTAATTAAAACCAAATTACCCAAATGAAACAAAAAGCCAGTTATCAGGAAGCTAAGACGGGCAGCTGTGAGATTAATCTGACACCTCATCTGGGGAACATCCTGTCCCTCAGATGCACTGATCTTATCAGCCTTAAGATTGGAGAAGTTCATGTGATGAAGCTCTCAAAAACCCTGTGAGTACTTTTGACCTCACATTGCCTCAGTCATCTTGGCTTTATGTCTTACTTGGTACTTTTTGATGGTTTTACTCAATTTTTTTATTTATTATTTTTTTGGAAAGGCAGATATACAAAGTGAAGGAGAGACAGACAGGAAGATCTTCCATCTGCTGGTCTGCTCCCCAAGTGTCCTCCATAGCCGGAGCTGAGCCGATCTGCAGCCAGGAGCTTCTTCCTGGTCTCCCCTACAAGTGCAGGGTCCCAAGGCCAGGAGCCGTCCTCTGCTCTCCTAGGCTGCAGACAGGGAGTTGGATGGGAAGCAGAGCTGCCGGGATTAGAACCAGCGCCTGTGTTGGATCCTGAATGTGCACGGCAAGGTCTTTAGCCACTGGGCTACTGTGCCAGGCCCTACTAATCTTTAATTTCCTTTTTATAATCTTCAGTTTCCTCATCTCTAAAATTATTTTTTAAAGATTTTTTTTTAATTGAAAAGTTACATCTACAGAGAGGAGGAGAGAAAGAGCGTGAGATCTTCTGATTCACTCCCCAAGCCGCTGTCATGGTCGGAGCTGCGCTGATCTGAAGCCAGCAGCCCAGAGCCTTTTCCGGGTCTCCCACCTGGGTGTAGGGTCCCAAGGCTTTGAGCCGTCCCTCTCTGCTTTCCCAGGCCACAAGCAGGGAGCTGGATGGGAAGCAGGGCTGCCAGGATTAGAAGCGGCACTCATATGGGATTCTGGTGCAATCAAGGCAAGGACTTCAACAACTAAGCTACTGTGCTGGGCCCTCGTCTCTAATATTTAATGTTGGTTTGCTCATGGCTTTGGATTTTGACTTTTTGCACATTTGTCTGAATAAAGATAAAGGTGCTTTAATCATACATTTAACAAATGAACATTTCACAAGGTGCAGTATCTCTGAATAATGGATCAAACTCAAAGCATACTAGTTTTTGTTTGTAAATAAATGTTATTGCCTCTTCTTGATATAGTGGTGGGATAATTGAACATGTGCCTACTTTAATTTCAATAACATTCCAATATTAGTTTTTAAAGACGCATGATTTATCCTGATATGTGATCTTAAATTCTGAGAGTTTTAAAAATTTTTGCTTTTTTTCGATTAAGGTATTGTGAATTTGTGATATAAAATAGAAATGCAAAGCTAACTGATTTTCTTTTAAAATTAAAGGGAGTGAAGATACATTTCAGGCGAGAATTTAAGATCTTCCTTTTTTTCCCTAGCCTATATTATGAAACTGAAATTTTGGACATGCATACTGTTGACTAGTGTTGGTTGTCTTTAGACTGGATAAGAACATTTTAAAAAGAAGCATATTCTGTAGAAAATATTCCAAACATCTCTGAAGCTTTGACTCTCTTAGTAGGAAAACGATAAAAGATGACAGACTCTGAGATCTTTAAGGTAAAGTGCTTAGAAAGGTTTAGCTCTTATTTCCCAGGGCATTGTTTTAGGCAGGGGCAAGGAATTAGCATTTGGGTGTTGTGATAGTTTGGTCTCAGGTAGAAGAATACTGTAAAGCAGACTGCACTCCTGAAAGAGAAGATGCTGCACTGCTTCTTAAAGGGTCGCATGACTGTTTTGTGTTATTTCAGCTCTAAATGATTTCATGTGTTGGCGGTCTATATAGGAAAGTAAGGGCTGCACAGTCACAGCAGTCCAGTTCTGACCGAGTGCTGAGAATTTGCTTTACTGTAAAATGGGGCTGAAATTCCTGCAGTGTCACTGTGAGAGTTGAGGTGAATAGTGTAGTGGAATGCGTGCTATGCTCCCGGCCTTGTGATTGTGGGCTCTTAGTAAATGTTCGTTGTTAGTAAGGGAACAAGTTTCCGAAAGAGAAGACTGCCTTAGGCAGGCAGGCATTCCTTGCGAACCTGTTAGTTTTGTGAAAAAGCAATGACTCTCCCTTTCTTGGTTACTGACTTGGAAACCAGCACGAAGGCCTTTCCCTTCCTGACAGCTGAAGCCACCTGTCTTACTGACTTACTGTCGGCCTGTAACTTGCTGTGGACTTAGTTAACAGTTAACTTGTTGCCCAGTTAGAGCATTCGATAGTTTTAAGATGATCACACTTGCTTCTGTTGATGAATTCTGTGGTTATGCCAAAACAGAATCCTGGACATTGTAGTAAATTTTTGGACCTTAAGCAGACATGAGTCTCATTATTTAATCTGTCACCTGCGTATTCTTGGCCAAGTAACAGAAGTTCTGCTTGAAGGAGAAATGGCTGAAGGAGGGGATTACAATTTTTGGAGTTCTTTTAGGTTAAATTAAAAGATTTATATGTGAAATTATGTGATACACCCTAGACATAATAGTAATAATAACCACAATTATGGTTTCTTCTAGGGTTCTGGTTTCTGTGTACTTTGGTGTTTCTCATAGTTCAGGGCAGTTGCAGAAGAGAAATCCACCTGGAGAGTGTTAGACTAGAAGTCATTACTGGGCCCCTGCTCGGGCTGACACTGAGCTGAGCAGTGTTTGGACTTCTGCTGCCTGTCTGCTTGCTTCTTACTTATTCATAAAGTACTTTGTTCATATCTGTAAAGTGTTTTTTGGAAATACACTGTTATATTGGTTTTTATTTTAAGATGAATTTAAGCAGAAGATGTCTCTTAGCAAAACTTCACATTGTTATTTTTGTAATTCCTCTATATACTGTATTTGTGTGTTAAATGCTTTTGTTTCAGAGTCTGTCTTTCTTACCAGGTTCAAGCATTGCTTAAGCTGCATCAATGGAGCACATACAGGGGGCTTGGAAGACGATCAGCAATGGTTTTGGATTCAAAGATGCTGTGTTTGATGGCTCCGGTTGCACCTCCCCTACAATAGCTCAGCAGTTTGGCTATCAGCGCCGAGCGTCAGACGATGGCAAACTCACAGAGTCTTCTAAGACGAGCAACACTATTCGTGTTTTCTTGCCGAATAAGCAAAGAACAGTGGTATGTGAGCATTCCTCTCAGGAAACTGGTTGTTTCTGTATGTGAAATGTTACAGATCATGTTGCCCAATTGATGGGCGTATCTTTATTAAGGGTCTTTATTAAGTAATTTTCCAGTTTCTTCCTTTCTGTTGCTATTCCTTCTACACCCTCTACTTTTTCCTATCTGTTGGCCCTCCTTCCATTATTACTCTAGCATGGACTAACTTCCTTTTCATCACTTCATCCAAACAAATTGAGTATCTTTTAAGTGAAATGCTTGAGACCAAAAGTTCTTCAAATTGCGGAGTTACAGGAGTTTGGAATGCTTGCATATCATCACCAGTCAAGCTGCGGAAATCCAGAGTCATGTCGGTTTTACCAACATCATGTTGGTAGAAAAAAGTTTTAGATTTCAAAAGTTTACATACTTAAATGTTTCAGATTTTTGGACAAGCTAATTTTTAAATATATGTATACATATATATATTTGAAAGGCAGATTTTATAGAGAGAGGAGAGGCAGAGTAAGGTCTTCCATCTGCTGCTTCACTCCCCAAATCATCCTACAGCCCAGCCAGAGCTGAGTGGATTGGTAACCAGGAGCCAGGAGCTCCACATGGGTGGAGGGACCCAAAGACTTGGTCATCTTCCACTGCTTTCCCAGTCATGAGCAGAGAACTGGATGGGAAGTGGAGCAGCCAGGACACAAACCATTGCCCATATGGAATGTTGGCACCATAGGGCGGATGGTTAGCTTATTCCACCACTGCGCTGGCCCTGACACCAAGGAGCACCCATATGGGATCCTGGCGCTTGAAAGGAGAGGATTAACTAACTGAGCCATTGTGCTGGGTCCTATTTTGGATTTTAGAAACAAAAAATTGACATGGCTGTAGAAGAAAAGTGAAATTGTATGATTTTCATCACTTGAGACTTCCACACCTCTATCCCATCCTCCATTCTTTGTACAAAATCAGTGTGTGGTGTACTTCCTTAAAATCAAGGCAGTGTTCAAAAGTCTGGTTATTTGGAATAAATTTAATTTTGTTTTCCTTATTAAAAATGAGAATTTGAGTGGCAAAATAGTAGTGCCAATTTCTCATATTTAAACTGATCTTTTGTTTGCAAATTGATTTTTACCTACTTTTTTCATTAATTTTCTTATTTTTTATTAATTTTCTACCTTTAAGTTGAGATGTCAGCTGTAGACATGTGAGGGTTACAAGAAGTTGAAACTTAATTAGTGTTTCTTCAGATGTTGTCTTCTCCATCATCATTTACTAGCAGTTTGCCTGGAAGTTGGGGAAGGTTCATTTGACATGATGATTGAGTGAACCAGTGTTTAACAACCAGGTACACAGTAAATTCTTTTTTCTTTTTTTAAGATTTATTTATTTTATTAGAAAGGCGGATATACAGAGAGGAGGAGAGACAGAGAGGAAGACCTTCCATCTGATGATTCACTGCCTAAGTGACTGCAGTGGCCAGTGCTGCACCCATCCGAAGCTGGGACCCAGTTCCATCTTCCAGGTCTCCCACGCAGGTGCAGGGTCCCAAGGCTTTGGGCCGTCCTCGACTGCTTTTCCAGGCCACAAGCAGGGAGCTGGATGGGAAGTGGAGTTGCCAGGATTAGAACCGGGGCCTGAATGGGATCCCGGCACGTTCAAGGCAAGGACTTTAGCCACTAGGCCACCACGCTGGCCCACAAGTAAATCCTTGCATTGCATTTTTAGGTTTATCATTTAAGCCGATTTCATAATGTTTGTAGAGTCTGTGTCCTGACCTCTGTGCCTGAGGTTCATGCCTGGTACAGAGACTGACATCACTGCGTTGGGAGCTAGGATTGTTTTTGCTCTCTTCTTCCCCGCTCCAGAGCACATGTGTGTAGTCCTCAGCAAGCTCCATTCATAGCTAGCGTTGAGAAAGAGTAACTTAGAAGTCTGACTTACATTCTGGGTTATGAGAAGAAAAGTGGAAAGCAGAGATTAGTTTCTTTCTTTTTTTTTTTTTTTAAATATTTTTATTTAAAAGGGAGATTTACAGAGGAGCAGAGAAAAGGTGGGATTGTGAATCTGCTGGTTCATTCCTCAAATGGCTAGAGCTGAGTTAATCCTAAATTAGGAGCTTTTTCCAGGTTGCCACAGGGACGCAGGGTCCCAATGACTTTGGCCATCCTCCACTGCTTTCCCAGGCCATGAACAGAGAGGTGGAGGGCAATGGAATAACAGATATCTTCTCCATCACCATGAACCAGCACCCATAATGGGATGCTGGAACCTGCAAGTGGAGTATTTCTCTGTTGAGCCATGGTGCTGGCCCCAGTTGCTCCTGTTTCTTTGGCCAGAGGTGGGTTTTCTATCTCTGATATAACCAACTTCTTTCACTTGGTACAAGGTTCAAAGAAGCAGTGGAGGGCCAGTGGTAACCTAGTGGATAAATCCTCACCTTGTGTACACCAGGATCCATATGGATGCTGGATTGTATCCTGGCTGCTGCGCTTCTCTTCCAGCTCCCTGCTTGTGACCTGGAAAAGTAGTAGGAGATGACCCAAAGCCTTGGGATCCTGCACCCGTGTGGGAGACCTGGAAGAAGCCACTGGCTCCTGGCTTTGGATTGGCTGAGCTCTGGCTGCTGGGGAGTGAACTAGTGGAAAGAAAATCTTCCTCTCTTTCTCTCCTTGTCTCTGTAAATTTGAGTTTCCAATAAATGTAAATAAATCCTTAACAACAGCAACAACAACAAAACCACAATAGAAGAGGGCAGAGCCACTTGCCTGGTTAGGACCATTAGTTGTCACTACTGAAACCCTACTGGAACCCAGAATGATTCCCCTGCCCATGGAGTGGGCTCTAGAGATTATTTAACTGATGACCATGTGAGTACTTATTTTTATCTTTATTTGTTTAGGTTTTAAAAATTTATTTTTATTGGATATGTAGATTTAGAGAGAAAGATCTGTGTGTTGGTTCACTCTTGAACAGATTTGACATTAATCAAGCCCAGAACACCCATCAAGTATTGACACTTGCCTGATATAAGGCAAGTTAGGTACTTCTCTACAGCTGGGGATATTTTGTGTTTTTAAAAAACTGTGTTGTTGCCTGGCAAAGCTGAAAAGAGAAGCCGCCTAACAAGCAGGTTAAAACAAATTCCTTGGCTGCCTTCTCGAATAAACTGAATTGTAATCCTTTTGGGTTGTTTATGGGAGGAAACTGAAAGTCTATGTTTTTTACAAGGTTCTTGGATGCTTGTAAAGCCAGCCACCTTTTGGAACCTTGCTCAGATTAGAGGATACTTAAAGAATGTCCTTCTCTTGAAATTTGTGACATTTAATGGAGATTAAGCGTAAGCTCAGCTGTCAATTTCCAGCTTGGAAGGCACTGTTGACTCAAGCTTGGATACAGATCTGAATTGTCTGTGGTTAAGTATTTGTTGCCCTTCATTTTCCTGATTCTTGCTGTGCTGTCCTCACAGTGCAGATGAGCATATCTCACGTCATCTGTTTTGTTTCTGAAAAAGCTGTAGGCTCGTGGGATCTTTTTAAGGATACATCACTGCTTGAGGAAGGCTTCAAAATAAATTTATTTACTATAAGCATGTAAAATAAATAAGATTAAAATAAGAGTAACAAACGTGATGTTTTGCCACTTAGTTTTCACATTTAGTTAATTGTGATAATTCTGCTTGCTATATTTCCACTCACTTCCAGTTGTTTTTTTGGACATAAATGCCAGATGCTTATCTGAACTATTTCATTATGTTCAAGAAATGTTTAAAGAACATAATTTTATTCCTTTAGTTTTTAAATAGGTGGTGATCATATGTGTTAAGTGTCAGAAACCCTACTCTAAGTTACTTTCCTCAAAGACTTTCTTTGATGAAGATCTTTATTGGACTGGTTATTGAGTGTACTAAGTTAAGACTCTCCTGGGCCTGGTGCAGTGGCCTAGCAGCTAAAGTCCTTGCCTTGAATGCATGAGGATCCCATATGAATGCCAGTTCTAATCCTGGCGGCCCCACTTCCCATCCAGCTCCCTGCTTGTGGCCTGGGAAAGCAGTTGAGGCTGGCCCAAAGCCTTGGGACCCTGCACCCACGTGGGAGACCTGGAGGAAATTCCTGGCTCCTGGCTTTGGTTCGGTGCAGTACCGGCCTTTGTGGTCACTTGGGGAGTGAATCGTTGGATGGAAGATCTTCCTCTCTGTATATCTGACTTTGTAATAAGAATAAGGAAATCTTTAGGGGGAAAAAAAAGACTCTCCTTGGAACGCCCATGTCCCTTGCTGCGTTGCTTCTGACCCTGCTTCGTGATGGCGTACTTGGGAAGGGCCTCTGGCTCCCTGTCACCCAACGAGAGACCTGCATCGACTTCCTGGTTTCAGCTTGACCCAGCTCTAGGTTTTTTGGTTTTTTTGGTTTTTTTTTGGCGGGGGGTGTTACTGTGCTTAATATAGAACTCATCTTTGTTCTTCAAAGATTGGTTACTGGGCAGGTAGTGTTCCTGTAGTTTGTAGTCATAGCAAAATAAAGCCTTATGAAAGTTTCTTGTCACAACTGGTACTTTGAGACTTGTTTTCCTGGTCTTGTGTCCCCTTCCTTCACAGAGTGTTTTTATTTTGTGCCCCTAGTGGAAGAGCAGGTACAGGTACTTCTCTTGCTCATTCTTTAAGACTTTTTTCTATATCCTAAACCAGGCAGAGAAAGATAGGATTGTTATTGAGATGGTACAATTAAGATAACTCCTGGGCCTGGCTCGGTTGCCTACTGGCTAAAGTCTTTGCCTTGTATGCCCTGAGATCCCATATGAGCGCCACTTTATATCCCAACTGCTCCACTTCCCATCAAGCTTTCTGCTTGTGGCCTGGGAAAGCAGTGGAGGATGGCCTAAAATCTTGGGACTCTGCACCCGTTTGGGAGACCTGGAGGAAGCTCCTGGCTTCAGATCGTCTCAGCTCTGGTCATTGCAGCCACTTGGGAAGTGGAGTTGCCAGGATTGCAACTGTAGCTTGTATGGGCTGCCCATATCACAGGTGGGTGCTTATCGCGCTGTGCTGCAGTCTGGTCCTGATGGGCCATTCTTTTTCCAGGTGCTTACTTGTTCCCAGATATTCAGGTTGCTGGGGGTTCTGTGTGTTCACCATTGTGAGGGATGCTACAACTTGCACTGGTTCTGAAGTTGTTCTCTCTTTGTAGGTCAATGTGCGGAATGGAATGAGCCTGCATGACTGTCTTATGAAGGCGCTCAAGGTGAGGGGTCTGCAGCCAGAGTGCTGTGCTGTGTTCAGGCTTCTCCAGGAGCATAAAGGGTGAGTACTCAGCAGGTGCCTTCGGACTGTTCAGCATCATCTAACTTCAAATTCCTGGCTCCAGTTAAAAAAAATCATACTGGTTTCCTGTAGAATATTATCTATGCATTTTTAAGAGAAAATTAAGATACTATGAACTGGAAATTATTGCTTGAATATTGTTTTGAATGTTTGAGTTGATGGTAAATGGAAACCATATTGTTAGTGTATTTTTTAAATTTTTAATTTTAATTGGAAAGGCAAATTTACAGAGAGGAGAGACAGGTAGATCTTCTGTCCACTTCTTCACTCCCCAAGTGGCTGCAAGTGTGGAGCCAAGCTGATCCGAAGCTGGGAACCAGATCTCAGCACTTGGAAGACGAGGATTTGGCCAATTAGACATTGCACCGGGCCCAGATGGTGTATTCCTCGAGAACAAAGGTTTTGCTTTATTTAAAATGTTTGCACTATTTTTTTTAGTTAGTGAGTGCTGTTTTGGGGATATTGAGAATCTTGGTAACATTAACTCATTTGTTTTTCCAAGGCTGAATGTGAACTGAATCTTTGCTGCTAGACAGACACAGTTAAAAGACACAGCGGGATTTCTACCTCTTGTGCTGATGGTTGAAACAAGACAGAGACACCCCTTGAAAAGCTAGAATTGTCTACAGTTCTCCAATAGCCATTATTTTTTCCCCTTAAAGGAAACCTTTTAGAAGGTTAATAGGCTAATCCCCTGCCTGCAAGTGCCCGCATCCCATATTAATACTGGTTCATGTCCCAGCTGCTCCACTTTTGATGCAGCTCATGGCTTATGACCTAGAAAAGCAGTGGAATGTGAGCAGAAGTGTTGGGACCATGCACATACATGGAAGACCCAGAAGAGGTTCCTGGCTCCTGCCTTCAGACCGGCTCAGCTCTGGCCATTGCAGCCATTTGGGAAGTGAATTAGCAGATGAAAGGTGTTTCTCTTGCTGTCTCTCCTTCCCTGTACAAATCTGCCTTTCAAGTAAAAGTCAATAAATCTTAAATATACAAATATGTGTATACATATATACATACGTGTATACATATATCCTGTCTGTTGGTTTACTCTCCACATGCCCACATGCCTGTTGCTGGAACAAACTGAAGGCAAGAGATGGGAAGTTTTGGTTGTGTAATGTGTTTGCTGTTGCTATTAATATTAAACTCTTCTCTTGTTAAACATCTTCCTTTGGTATTTTCTGAAATTCTGCAGTAAAAAAGCGCGTTTAGATTGGAATACTGATGCTGCATCCTTAATAGGAGAGGAACTTCAAGTAGATTTCCTGGATCATGTTCCCCTCACAACACACAATTTTGTAAGTTGCAGTTTTTTCTTCTTCATGGCATGTTAGATATGTTGCCTAGTGTCAGGAATTTCTCAGAGGCAGTAAGTATTGATTGCTTAATGTTCTAGTTATGCCATTGCTTACAATAAAGCAATGTAGATTATTTGATTAGATATGTTTTTTTTTAATGAATTTTACAATGTTGCAAGCAGGAGTCTTTATTTTGTAATAATAATGAATTTTGCAGGGCCAGGATTACTCTTTGGTCAGTTTTCATTTAATCGGCTTGTTTGCACCAATGTTCTTGTAGGCTCGAAAGACGTTCCTGAAACTTGCCTTCTGTGACATCTGTCAGAAGTTTCTGCTAAATGGATTTCGGTGTCAGACTTGTGGCTACAAATTTCATGAGCACTGTAGCACCAAAGTACCTACTATGTGTGTGGACTGGAGTAATATCAGACAACTCTTGTAAGATATCCTTTCTTTCAGAGAATGTAGGGAAAGCAAGTATATAGACACTTTGATAGTCTGGCTTTTAGACTTGTTAAAGAATTGTAATGTGGAAATCATCTACTTCAGAATGATAGGTGTTTTTGTGTGTGTGGTTTTTCTTTTTTGCTGTTGTTGTTTCTGTTTTTTCTTTAAGATTTACTTATTTGAAAGGACGGTGAGTGGAGGGTTGAGTCTTCCATCTACTGACTTACTCCCTAAGTTGTTGCAAAGGTTGGGGCTGGGCCAGGCTGGAACCAGGAGCCAGGAGCTGCTTCTGGGTCTCCCCTGTGGATATATAGCCCAAGTACTTGGGGCATCCTCTGGCTGCTTTTTCAGGCACATTAGCAGGAAGCTGGTTAGAAGTGGAACAGCCTGGTCTGAAACTGATACTCATATTGGATGCCAGCATTATAGTTGCCAGGTTAACCCACTGCACTGCACCTCGGGCCCCAGAGTGATAGTTCAGAAACTAGCTAATTTAGTGTGATTTGTAATACAAAATGAGCAGGTAGACCTTTTTTTTAAACTATTAATAGGTACCAGTAAGCAATCAGGGAAAAGACAAAGGGTTATGAAAATTAAAAGGATTTTTGACTTTTCTGTCTGTATTTATTTGAAAAGTAGAGTTAGAGAAAACATCTGACAGATATGTGAAAAATCTCAGTGTTAACTGATTGTAACCACCTCTGAGCTCTAGTTACTCCTGGGGAAAAGGAAGATGTTACGTTCCCTGTAATGTTTTTTTGAGGATTGGTGATGATAGCCATATGGGAAATAGCTGAGCTGAAGTGGTCTGGCCTCTGCATGGAAAGTGCCCAGTTAATGCAATATCATTTTTCCTCTTTTTTTGGGAAAAAAAAAAATCTTTATTTGTTTGAAAGGCACAGAGAACAGAGATTTTCTGTCTCTTGATTCACCCCCCAGTGCTCCCAAGTGCAGGGCCTGGGTACCATGAAGTCAGGAAGCAGGGACTCACTCCAGTCTCCAGCCTCACAGCTTGAGCCACTCCTGCTGCTGTCTGGATGGGAAGGTGCTGTAGGACTTGCATCTGAATTGCTGTATGAAATGCAAGTGGCAGCTTAACTTGCTATACCGCCACACTGGCCCCATTTTTCCTCTTACATGGCACCTTTTTTTTTTTTTTATTAAATAAGCTTTTTATTTAGTTTTTTGTCTTTGTATCTTTCTAAGACAGTGTTTCCAGAAAAGCTGTATATGATACAAGTCATAAAATTCCTTACTTTAGCCTTAAGAAAACACGACTTTAAAAAATACACATTTTTGGGGCCGAGCACAATGGCTCAGTGGCTAAATCCTCACCTTCCATGCACAAGGATCCCATATGGGTGCTGGTTTGTGTCCCGGCTCCTCCACTTCCCACCCAGCTCCCTGGTTGTGGCCTAGGAAAGAAGTAGAGGACAGCCTAAATCCTGGGGACCTTGTACCCACATCTGAACCTGCTGGCTTCAGATTGGCTCAGCTCCAGCCATTGTGCCACTTGGGGAGTGAGCTAGCAGATAAAAGGTCTCTCTCTTTCTACAAATCTTCTCTACAAATTTTCCTTTCCAATAAAATTAATAAATCTTTAATAATGTTTTTGTTTTTGTTTTTTTGTTGTTGGAGGAAAGACAGAAAGAGATAGGAATGGGGAGAGGTCTTCTATGTGGTGGTTCTTTTCCCCAGGTGGTCTCAGTGTCCCATGGTTGGCTGTGCCAGAGCCAGGAGACAGCAGCTTCCTCTGCATCTCCTACATAGGTTCAGGGATCCAAGTACTTGGGCTGTCCTCCGCTGCTTTCCCAAGCACATTATCAGGCAGCTGGATGGGAAATTAAGCAGCTAACATTCCACCATATAGGATGTTGGCATTGTAGTTGATGGCCAAACCAGCTGTATCACAGCATTGGCTTCACCAAATGTTGCTTTGATATTTCCTGCTGGAGCCTGCACGTTCATTGGCAGGCCAGTATTTCTCACATTCCAGTCGTTCCAGCGCAGATGATTGGATTGTTGTTTCTTTCATTCTTAGTACCTATAAAGGTAGAAGAAAATGTGATGAGAAACTTCAGTTGAGTAGCAGCTTACAAGGCAGGGCAGGCCAATTATTTGTAGATTCATTGCACACCTGTAAGCTTGTCTTTCTCTGATTTTACTTAGATTATTTCCAAATTCTACCTTTGGTGAAACTGGGGCCCCAGCACTGCCTTCTTTGACAATGCGTCGGATGCGAGAATCTGTTTCCCGGATGCCTGTTAGGTAATTTTTACTCATAGCTTTTCCTTTGGAAGCTTGTATTGGGGTTGGTAGCATTGAAAACCCAAGTGCAAAAGAAAATTCCTTTGCATTCTGTTGTCTGTCTGTGAACATTTGCTGCTTCTGTGGAGCTAAATCTTGGTCTTACAGCAAAATGTAGAAGTCTTATCCTCTGAAAGTGCTCACACTTCATGAGGTGGTAATGACTTGAGTTCTTTCTGATATCAAGGCATATCTTCATACCTTGTTAAGTTTGAAAGAACTTAAGATTCTGTCTTTCTTGATGGTGAGTTGAGCTTCATTGGGAAGGGTCTCCAGTTAAATACCAGGTCATTCAGTAAAACTAAAACCCTTTACTCTCAAATGCTTATTATGGCTTCGCATTGTGAGAAACATGGTAGTTAATACATCAAAAGAACTGAAAAATCTGATATGATGTTAATATACTTTCTACTCCACGATAGGCCAGGAGGGCAGAGAAATCTTCCAGCTTGTTAGAGTGTGAGAGGAAGACTCAAGTATAATCTATCAAGATTGTAGCAGGTGACTTATAGATAACAGATTCTAAACCACATTAGACATTAGCAAAAATACAGAGACATACAAGAGCGATCCTCACAGCCTCTTAACAGGAGGTCATATGCTCAGAGTAGAAGGGAACCCCAGAGCAGAACAAGAGGACAAGAAGAGGGCTATATCCTAGTCCTGGAGACAGCCGGAAACCTCCCGAGTGTTTTTGCCACAGAAGCGGTGGATACATTATCAAGGATCGTCAGTATGGGCACCAAGGACCATATCCCAACTGCCAAGGAGATCACAAGGATTTGAATGCCTGCAGGTCAAGAACTCTGTCAGCCAGTTCCTGTCATATCTCCCAAGTGGGATTGAAGCAGCCCAGAACCCTCCACATAGGGTCTGATGACATCGGAACAACAGACAGGAGCCCTGGGAGATCCTCAGAGATAGGAGAATTGTAAATTTCCTCCTGGACTCAGGAGAGGAGCTTTCTCTGGTCCTTCCTTGTTCCAACTTTGGCTCCCCATCCTCTCTAGCAATGACCATCAGGGTTGTTCAGGAGCCCCATAATTAGCTCAGAAAGACAGAGAATAATACAGAAAGATTTGGACAGACAGGAAAAAGTCAGTTGGCCTATAATTACTCGGCCTGTACCTTACTGGTCAGGTGCCCAACTTGGCTTTTCCTAGAACTCACTAGGTAGGATGAAGAATTCAGTTATACCTCACTAACTAAGATATTGGAGATTTCTCTGTGTACCCACCAAAGATTGTTCTACTCCCCCGTGGTTAATATATGGCTTGTTAGAATTATAAATCAGTTTTGATTATCCTAAAATGTACAAAGTTCTGTAAGAACTTGCTTGAATACTATAAACTGCTAAATATAATCATGAAAAAAAAGAAAGAAATAGCATTCACCAAAACCAAAGGCAAATGTGAAGATCATCCCAGTAAAATAACAGTAGAAGACCAAACAATGGACAACCCTAAAATGACAGGGCCAAAGTACCACCTATCATATGAACCCTGAATGCACATGGCTTACACTCATCAATCCAATGGCATAAATTAATAATGGATTAAAAATACAAAACCCAGCTATCAGTTGCCTACAGGTGACCTACCTATCTCACCAGCAAAGATCAACAGAAACTATATCTCATGGATTTCGATGTTTTTATTTTCATTTGTTCAAAGCATTTTTTTCTCATTAAATTCTTCACTGACTCATAAGTCACACCATGCCTTCAAGAAGGTTCTTGGTATTCTTCATTGTTGCAGTTATGTATTAGTCATTCACTAGCATGTGATTTAACTTCATTATACTGTAAATTTCTGTTTTTCTTCCTGTTGTTGATTTTGTATTGTGGCTTTTCATTTAAGGGGTGGTAGAGTAACTAGATAATGGAGACTGTCATATCCAGATGTGAGGATACAATGCAGTATGCATCTCTACTTCCAGATCAATGATGAACTCCCAATGAAACTGTTAACTGTATCTTGACAGTGGGATGCTGGACTCTGCCATTGTCCATGCCCACAGTGATGTTTATGAAGAATTATATTACTGTATTAATACAGGGGAAATCAGTGGTGGGAGGAGGATTTTTTGGGAAGGGGGTAAAGGGAAATCCCAAGGCCTATGGAACTCTGTCATAAAATAATTAAAAAAAAAAAAAGAAGAAAGTATGTCATTACAAAAATTGAAAGAAAAATTTGAAAAGGAGAAAGGGTAGGCATGAGTAAGTAAGGGAGGTATTGGCGGTAGGGTGGGAATTACCTTTTGGTTATTAAAGTTGTACATATGAAATACATGAAATTTGTTCCCTTTACTTGAATAGAAATTTAAAAAGGAAACTAAAAAAAAGAAACACGGTAGTTAATAGATTGCTATCCAAAAGAATCTAGTTACCTTTTCCGTAGAAGCCTGTGAGTTTATGTATAATTTGTCGTAGTGACTTTGTGTCCCAGCTTTAAATTTGAATTTTGCTTAGTGCTTACTTTGCTTAGTATTACTTTAGAGCCTAAATATATGTATCCATGTCTTTATTCTAAGTAATGTAATAAATTTTTAATAACTGTAAAGTTATTAAAAGCAGCCATATCTCAAAACAAGAAATTTGATTTGAAATATTTGGGTTTCTGTGTGTGTTTTTTGTTTGATTTTGTTTTTGTTTTTGTTTGATATTTGAAAAGCAAGTCTGGCAAACAAAAACTACTTGTCTCCTTTTATTTTTTTTATAAGCTTATATTTATTTGAAAAGCACAGTTACACAAAGGGAAGGAGAAATAGATCTTCAATCTGCTGGTTCATTCTAGAAATGACCGCAATATCTGGAGTTGCGTTGATCTGAAGCCAGGAGCCAGGAGATTATTCCACGTCCCCCACATGGTTGAGGGACATCTGTACATTGGCAGAGAGCTTGAGCAGCAGTGCAGCAGCTGGATCTCAAACCTGTGCTCTCTGGTTGAGTGATGCTAGTGGAGGTTAATATCAGCCCTGTTGCCTTGTAAGATTAGGAAAAAACCAGATCTCCTATGCCAGCACATTGGCTCAACTGGCTAATCCTTCACCCCCAAGCATCATCATCCTACGTGTGTGCCAGTGTGTGTCCCAGCTGCTCCCCTTACATCCAGCTCTGTGCTTGTGGCCTTGGGAAGCAACAGAGGATGACGCAAATCCTTGAGACCCTGTAGCTGTGTAGGAGACTCGGAAGAAGCTCCTGGTTCCTGACTTCAGATTGACCCAGCTCTGGCCATTGTGGCCATTTGGGGAGTGAACCAGTGGATAGATCTGTCTGTCTCTCCTTTCTGTACATCTGCATTTAAAAAATTATAAATATTTAAAAAGAAAAAGCCAGGTCTCTGAAGGCATGAACATAGAATTATGTGGAAAGGCAGTTTTTCAAAGCAGTAGGTATTTTATTTCTTGAATTCCTACATGAGTATTCATGAATGTGACCAAAGCTCAAGTTAATGTTTAAGCAAATAATGAAAACACTATTTTTAATGTTTGTAGCAATTTAGTCAGTGAAATAGTAGCACTGACTAAAAGTGACTAGTGATTAATTTAATAATTTAGTATTGTGATTTAAATATTGAGTCCACAAAAATAATTAGAAAAGGAAATGAATGTATTTGCTTGTAATTTTTGAGTGTTATATGCAGGGTGTAATGAACAGTGGGTAAAATCCTGGCATTCATGCACATATCTGTAATGTGTCCAGCCATCTGTTCATGGAGTTCTAGTAGGTTTAGTCTAAGCTGGGAGGGTTCCAGGTAGGCTAGTAGGTGGTGCTATGGTAGGCAGAACTTTATCACTTCTTTCTCAGAATATGTAAAGATTTGAAGTATTCTGTAGAAATGATATATTTTTGAAAAGTTGTAATGTTCCCTTTTGTTTGTATTGCAAGTCCAAGTGTTCCTTTCCTTTCTAAAAATTTGTGTGCACAAGCACCTTGACAGCTAAGAGGTTTTTAATTTGTATTGTTTAAATACAATAAATTTAATTAAATTAAGTCAATTAAAGGTTTTGACTTGTATTGAAGGGCTGATCTGTGTTGTCAAAGGTCGTACAGATAGTTTACTGCAAAGTGTCTTAGTGAAGGTCCAGCAGGACTGACCGAGTGCCAGCCCTGGACCCTTTGTCCTCTCTCCAGTTCCCAGCACAGGTACTCCACTCCTCACGCCTTCACCTTCAGCTCCTCCAGCCCGTCCTCGGAAGGTTCCCTCTCCCAGAGGCAGAGGTCGACGTCCACACCCAACGTCCACATGGTCAGCACCACCCTGCCTGTGGACAGCAGGATGATTGAGGTAAAGAGGCGCCCCGGCTTGGGAGTGGGGGGCGATGAGTGTCAGGCCGCTGAGGGCGGAGAGTTTGGGTCTCAGACTGTTCAGGAGTTGAGCAGTGCTTTCTCAGGCCTCTGTGCTGCTCAACTTTCTCTCTTAGCCCTGCCATTTTTAGACTGTCTTGTTAATCCAGTTCACAGCTATCAGCTGGAGAGCTAAAACCTCCTGAAGAAATGTTCATACTTGACTCCTTTTCCATGGCAGATTTAAATAGAATTTCAGTGAGCTGATTTGTAACAAGATAAATAAAGAGTACTTTCATTTTTGTGTTGGAAAGAATATAATAGTAATGGAAGTAAGAGCGCTAAATTTCACTAAAAGGGGGGAATCCTAGGAGTTTAACAAGCAGGTCTTTAGGTAGATGTTAATTCTTTTGGTTCCAAACTATGTTTTCTTTTATTGGCTTTTTGTGTCTTCTGTTTATTATGTTTGCTTTCTACTTCATCTTCAATAACCACTGAATACACTTCCTTTGTTCTTTATTCTTTATTTCTCCTTGCTTTGGACTAGAATAGCAGCCTGAATGCTTCTCCCAGGGTGTGGTCCAGATGCTTTTGTTTGAGGGGAAGAGTAGGTATTTTTCTTCATGCATTTGCTTTCTTGTAATTAATGGGATTGCTAAGACTATCAGACAGTAAATTCGTATTTCTTGTCAGAATTGTTTTTAAATTTCCTTTTTTGCCAATAGATTATATGAGAGTAAAGAAACCATGCATCCTGTCCTGGTGGTATTTTCAGTAGACACTAACCTTGCCTGGTACAGTACGGGAGTTGTAGATTGGCGTGGAAATTTAAAGCAGGTTCTTGTTGGTGCACAGCACAAATTAGTTCTGTATGGGGGTGGTAGATTTTCATCTCTACTTGTCTGATGCAACTTATATGAAATAACTGCTGTTAACTGAATACCACTCTAATTGCAAAAAAAAGTTTCAGCTGTTTTACTTACATTCTGAATGTAAGTAAATACAATTTTTTTATTAGAAAAAAACAATATATAGTAGGTAAATTTCTCAAGTTAGAGTTTTGAAGCCAAGACTATTAAAACAAAATAAATGCTTAGTAAAAACTAATGTTTTGATTATTTAGTTAGTACACAATCAGTATTCTCTGTATGGCCCATTTGTTTGACAGACCCTGGAAAATCATTTATTAATACCTTGTCAGAGGTGCCTATGTTCTCCTTGTGGGTGAATTGTTCCTCCAAAAACCGCAGGGATACCTGTGCCACACAGCTCACTAAGATCTCAAGTCACGACATACTTTTTCTGCCACGGTGAGAAAGATTTTGCACAAACATTTAGTTTTATTTTTTGTTTTATCATCCCAATTAATCTACCAGCTATGTTTTTGATAGCGTATGGTTTGGTTCTATGAGGAAGCAATGAAGTGAAAATCCTAGAATTCTTAATACAGAATAGCACGGTGGTTACGCTAATCCTTTCTTTAAGAGCAGAATAAATTTTGGGGCCCAGTGTGATGCCTTAATACCTAAATCTTTGCCTTGCAAAAGTGCCGGGATCCCATATGGGTGCTGGTTTATGTTCCTGGCTGTTCCACTTTCCATCTATGGCCTGGGAAAGCAGCAGAGGACGGCCCTAAGCCTTGGGACCCTGCACTTGCATAGGAGACCTGGAGGAAGCCCCTGGCTCCTGACTTTGGAACAGGTCAGCTCAGGTTGTTGTGGAGTAAACCAGTGGATGGAAGTTCTTTCTGTGTCTTTGTAAATCTGATCTGCCTTTCCAATAAAAATACATCTTTTTTTTTTATAAGTAAGTTTTGAATTCTGGTACTTTTTTTTTTTTTAAAGATTTATTTTTATTATTTTTTCATTGGAAAGGCGGATATACAGAGAGGAGAGACAGAGAGGAAGATCTTCCGTCCGATGATTCACTCCCCAAGTGAGCGCAACGGGCCGATACTATGCCGATCCGAAGCCAGGAGCCTCTTCCGGGTCTCCCACACGGGTGCAGGTTCCCAAGGCTTTGGGCCGTCCTCGACTGCTTTCCCGGGCCACAGGCAGGGAGCTGGAAGGGAAGCGGGGCTGCCGGGATTAGAACCGGCGCCCATATGGGATCCCGGGCGTGCAAGGCGAGGACCTTTAACCACTTGCGCCACCGCGCCAGGCCCGAATTCTGGTACTTTTAACAAAATTCAAAAAGGGTTACAGAGAGAGAAGGTAAAAGAGGGCTCTTCCATTCACTGGTGTACTGCCTAAATAGCTGCAACAGCCAGCACTGGGTATGACCATATCTAGGAATTTCTTCTGGGTCTCCCATGTGCGGTTGTCTTCCATTGCCTTCCTGGCCACATCGAAATGGAGCTAGGTCAAAAGTGGTGCAGCCAGCTCTTGAACCTGGTTTGAGTGTTAGCATTGCACGCGGCAGCTGCTTTACCCACTCTAAGTATGAGCCCTGAATCCTGATGCTTTTTATTTTATTACTTGATTTTCCATTTTTAACATTACATGATTAAACGTTTTTAATTTTATAAAGTGTTTATTTTTATCTACTTGAAGCTGAGGTGGAGATCTTGCATCCATTGCTTCACTCCGTAGATATGTGCTTGCCAAAGCCAGGAGCTTGGGTCAGGGGCAGCGTGACACGTGTGCTTGAACCACCTACTGTCTTCGAGGATACCTTAGCAGCAAGTTGAAATAGAAACGGAGCAACCAGGATTTCAACCAGGCATTGTAACTCTGTATTTAGGAAAATCAGTCAAGCTGTGGAAATTGCCAGAGTAAAGTATAAGGAATATGCTGTAAGTAGGGAGAAAATTACTATGACCATAAGAAAAAAAAATCAGTACATACGTGGGAATATAGTTTAATAAAAAATTCATTGTGCTGTGTTTGACATAAACAGAGTGGGTAGTGAAGGCACACCTGCTCAGTACTCTTTTGAAGTTCAGGTTATTTGTCACTTATTTTTTTATGTGCTTGGCAGTTATTTTGCACATCGAAAACATGCATATTTCTAAACTTGCAGCTTTTGCTTGCAGGCATGCGTAATGTGTTTGTGTGTGTGTGTGTGTAGTGAATTTCTTTTAAGTAGTGATAAAGGGTAGTCAGCTTGAGAACTAGAACTTGAAGCTGTTTAGATTGGGAAATTGTAAACAGTTTGTAATTTTTTTTTCCTTTGGTACAGTTGTCATAACATTTTAATAACAGTTGAAGGAATGAATATTTTGCCTATACCAATAGACAAATATCATGTGGTTACATAATAAAAAGTAAATTTTTGAGAATGGGGAGGGTGGCCTATGTTGTTGTATATTATTTGGTTATACTTCAAATGAAGATTTTTTTAAATTAGGATTTAGATCTCAGCCTCCCGTGATACATTTTTAAATTTTTTCTTAGAAACCCTCCTTAAGCATCTTAAACATTTATTTTTTCTTGTTTTTAAGTTTTATTTGCTTTTAAAATTAGTTTTTAAAGAGCCCCCTGTGATTTAAACTATTTTCCAAATAGTTTATTCTAATCAATTCTTAAGGTAGTCTTTGTCTTATCAGCTCAGTAGCATGTAGCTCAGCCTATGAGGTATCATTTCATGGTGAGAGAATTAAGGGCTGGCATCCATGTATAACAGTTTTTATTTTTCTGGCACCCACTGGCCATGTTCCTTTCTCTACTTGCTGAGATGTGCTTTCTCATATATAAAATGTGGATTTTAAGTTATGTGTGGTATTTGCAGCTATCCCATGATTTTAGCTTGATTGAAGTACATGGTCGTGGGGCTTGCCCTCAGATGAAATCCAGTCTCACCCTTTATCCTGGTGGAATGGTTCCTGGGGGGAGTTCTCTTGCTGCCAGATTGCTTCCCAGCATCACTTGAGCAAGATCCTCAATCTTTGCGAAGATTCCAGCTGATGACTAATTTGTCATATTGTTGTTTTTCTTCCTGAGAAAAGAATGTGTTTTCCATTGTACATAAAACATCAATCCTCATGATATTTGATGAACACCAATTTTACACATCTTGACCTTTGACATGAGTGAGTTTAATCAGGGAGAGCTAAGTAGCCTGTGTCTCAGTGCTTTTATAATTCAGTTTTTACTTGTAAATCCTTTGTTTTCCCTCCTTGCAAGTAAATAATTTCTAGTTTACAAATTAATCAACTTTCCTTTTTGTTTTCAGGATGCAATTAGAAGTCACAGCGAATCAGGTACTTTTCCGTATTACTTACTAAATAGTGTCTTTTTGTGTGCTGTGTGTCTTATGTTGACTTTCCCACTTGTGGGTTCTCTTTGTCCTCTCTCTGTTAAGCCTCACCTTCAGCCCTATCCAGCAGCCCCAACAATTTGAGCCCAACGGGCTGGTCACAACCGAAAACTCCTGTGCCAGCGCAGAGAGAACGGGCCCCAGGATCTGGAACCCAGGAGAAAAACAAAATTGTGAGTGTTGCCATCAGCACCTCATATCTGTTTGGGTTTAGGAAGAAAAACCTGGTTGGAAAGTAGAATTCTTTTTACTTATTTGGGGATAGGACTCAAATAAGATACATTCAGGGATCTCAAGTGTGCTGCCTTTGTCATGCTTACTTTAGAGAATTTGGCAGTTTGCTACAACAGAACAGTGTTTTCTCAAAAGACAAAATTGAGATTATAGTTAACATGTATCTTTAAAAGCTGTGGGAACAGTGGAGGTTGGATAGATTTTTGGTTGGATGTCCTTGTTACCAACAGCCTGTCGCCATGCTCTGGAATATCATTTCTGCTTGTTTCAGAGGCCGCGCGGACAGAGAGATTCCAGCTACTACTGGGAAATAGAAGCCAGTGAAGTGATGCTTTCCACTCGGATTGGGTCTGGCTCCTTTGGAACTGTATATAAGGGCAAATGGCATGGTGAGTCCAGGGCCCACCCTTCGTCACAGGGCTTCAGTGATGTCAGAAGTAAGCCCAGAGAGGCCAAGGAGATTCCCAAGATAGCTGATTATGTCTGAAGATTCGACTGGATGGTAGATTTGAAATCTCACAGAATTTGGTTTAGATGCCTGGTGCTTTAATTTGCATGTTGTTTAGACAGGTAGAAAAATGTGGACAAGGTTTGAGTTCTGTAATCAGTGTTAGGATGGCTGACTTGTCCTAGACCGATTAAGCACAGGCTGCACAGGGAGCTGCTGTGAAGCTCCTGAAATGAGCAGGAGTCTGCTGATTGAGTGGAAAGCACGAGAATTGGGGAGGGATCTTAAGGATTTCACATGCCAGAAAATTGAGGTCCTGAGAGGGGGCTAACTTGCTTGTCCGTGACCAGTTAGTTTTGGCATAACAAAGGTAAGAATGTCTTGACAAAGCTCTTTAATATGCCCAGGGTTCACTGTGGTTAGGCCTGTCCAACAGAATAGGTAGATTTAATTCTGCAATCTGTGCAATGTTAGTTATTTTTGTTTGTTTGTTTGTTTGTTTTAAAGATTTATTTTTATTTGAAAGTCAGATATATAGAGAGGAGGACAGAGAGAGGAAGATCTCCCATCTGATGATTCACTCCCCAAGTGGCCACAACAGCTGGTGCTGCGCTGATACGAAGCCAGGAGCCAGGAACTTCCTCCTCATGTGGGTGCAGGGTCCCAAGGCTTTGGGCCGTCCTTGACTGCTTTCCCAGGCCACAAGCAGGGAGCTGGATGGAAAGTGGAGCTGCCGAGATTAGAACTGGCACCCACATGGGATCCTGATGCATTCGAGGCGAGGACTTTAGCTGCTAGGCCATGCTGCCAGGCCCAATGTTAGTTGTTTTGATTGAAGCTTTATTACTTGTGAGAAATTTAGTTTAACTTTTGTTAATTGCAGCTTGTGTATTTGGGTAGTATACTTAAAATTTACTTCAAGTTTTCACTGCTTCTGGCTTTGGCTTTAGGGTGTCAGCAAATAGTAAGCAGGTTTTTGTTGTCTCTGCTTTGGATTCTACTGTGATCATCATCATTATTAGAGCTGTATTTGGCAGAGTTATGGAGTGAGAGAGCTACCATCTGCTGATTTACTCCCTAGATGACCACAATGGCCAGGGCTAAACTAGGCTGAGCTGGGAGCTTTTTGTGTGTCTTCTGTGCAGGTGCAGGACCCTGGCATATGGGCCATCTTCCACTGCTTTCCCAGGTGCCTTCTTGGAGGGCTGGGTCAGAAGTGGAACATGGGATGCTGCCTTTGCATTGGCACCGTGCCCGATGCCAGCCCTCATAATTACTTTGGAGATGCCCAAAGTAAGGAGCGTTGAGAATGTCATGTGAATGGAGCATTCAGATTCAAGGTGTTGAAACCTGAGACAACACCTGCAGGCTTCTGAGTGCCTTTGGCTTGTTAGCATGATTTTATGCCATTGGTTACTGATTACTTGAGAAATTCCTGGTTCATTAAGGGCATAGGACTAAATGTGTAAATTACATGTAGAATGATTCATTTTTCTTATAAAATTACATCCAGTGTACTTCTGGCCTATCTGCCAAATCCTAGGAAATTGACAGTGTTGGAAGAAATGTCGAAAGTCATGAACGGGGCAGCAGAGCCTTTTGTAGGGTGTACTGAATTGTATCTGAGATGGGAAGTAGAGCAGTGGATAGTGTGTTTAATATTTTCACTAAGAGCAGTTGATCATTTTTTTTAAAGATTTATTCATTTTTATTGGAAAGTAAGATATGTAGAGAGAAGGAGAGACAGAGAGGAAGATCTTCCATCTGATGAAGATGGCAGCCACAATGGCAGGAGCTGAGCCAATCCAAAGCCAGGAGCCAGGAGCTGCTTCAGGGTCCCCCATGTGGGTACAGGGTCCCAAGGATTTGGGCCATTCTTGGCCACTTTCCCAGGCCACAGCAGGGAGCTGGATGGGAAGCAGGGACGCCAGGATTAGAAGTGGTGCCCACATGGGAACCCTACACGTTCAGGGCAAGGGCTTTAGCCACTATGTTATCACGCTGGGCCCAAAGTTGATCATTTTAATACTGCTTTTTAAAAACCTTGGTTAGAAGATGCACTTTAAGTTGTTTCCAATTTAAAGTTCCCTCTGGTTGAGCGCTTTTATCTGGCAGTGTGTAGTTTGACAAGGCATTACTACTCGCAATACTGCTGATATGTTTCAGGTTTCTTTCAGTACTGCAAGCTCTGAAGCTCTGAAGAGATGTATTTGTAAGTTAGAAAGTCTCAAAGTGAAAAGAGTGAGCTTACACTGTGTTCCCCACAAACGAGCAATAGTCTGGGCGAAAAGGAAGAAGAGCAATCAGAAACCTTCATTTCTAGTTGGAGTGACAAGCTGTTTGTTTTTTTCTGTTCTGGTTATTTTCCCTCCTAAGTTTATTTTTATTTACTGATGTGTTAGTGAGAAAGAAGATGTCCCCATGTACTGCCTCCGGCCCCAGATGCCTGTGCTAGGTTGGGCTGAGACGAAGCTGGGAGCTGAATGCAGGTCTTTCCCGAGGATGGCAGGAACCCAGGACTGAGCCATCATGGCTGCTCTCTAGGGTCTGTGTTAGCAGGCATCGGGAGCCGGAGCTAGGGGCGACACCCAGCATCTTAGATGTGGGACACAGACGTCTTAACTGCTAGACTGAGAGCCACGCTCCACAGCGCAAACTTCATGCATTTGTGTATTATCCTTGTGTGGGGGAGCTGCTAATCTCTGTGTTGGCTGGTTTTATTCTCTGTATTGTTCCAAGGCAGCCACTCCCATTATATTTTCAGCTCAGACCATTCTGATGGGTTAAAGTAGAAAGGGTCTCAAAACAATCCAGATGGGATTCTAGGTCCTTAAAGGAAACTCGCATACCATGACAAGGGGAGCTGTTATGCCCAAGCTCAGAGGTGCCTTTTTTTTTTTTTTTTTTTTAAAGATTTATTTTTATTATTTTTTCATTGGAAAGGCGGATATACAGAGAGGAGAGACAGAGAGGAAGATCTTCCGTCCGATGATTCACTCCCCAAGTGAGCGCAACGGGCCGATACTATGCCGATCCGAAGCCAGGAGCCTCTTCCGGGTCTCCCACACGGGTGCAGGGTCCCAAAGCTTTGGGCCGTCCTCGACTGCTTTCCCGGGCCACAAGCAGGGAGCTGGAAGGGAAGCGGGGCTGCCGGGATTAGAACCGGCGCCCATATGGGATCCCGGGGGTGCAAGGCGAGGACCTTTAACCACTTGCGCCACCGCGCCGGGCCCCAGAGGTGCCTTTTGACCATAAGTTTGAGGGTCTGATTTACCAGCACATTGGAGGGATAAAGCCAGAGGTCAGTAGAGGTCAGAAGGACGCCCTCAGGAATGATGCAGAAAGCCTGAGGATGCAGAACCCCTCTGGGCAGATTGAGCCCCAAACCTTAGAGGAATAACCTCAGTAGCCTTCGGCCCCCTGGCAGCATGGCGCAGTAGTGGCAGTGGCTGGATGCTGCTGCTGGCCAGCGTCCTGAGTCAGGATCTGACTGCACAGTCCCACTCAGGAGCATCAGCTCCCAGCCCAGAGACTGCTTTCTGCTGAACAGGCCTCTCGGCCACACTGCTGTCAAGCGGAGAACTCTCCATTTGGTGCCTCATGATTCGGGGCTCTTGGCACTGTTTGTTCTTGACTGTGCTGAAAAGGGAAAGTGTAAGAGTTTCTGGTTTATTGCTTAGTAACTAGCTCTTGAGCTGCCACCTCCATAAAAAGTTACTCTGCCATTAACCTTTGTCATTAATTTACCTGTTGAGATAAATCTCCTTTAAATGTAAGGTTGAAAGCTTCAAGGGCATTGGATAATTCCAGAAGATTGTATAATTTTCTGCTTGTCTTAGAGATGGGTCTGAAAGGCAAAAGGATGAGCAACAGGCTGCATTAGAAAGAACCCGTGGCAGGACATGTTGGAGAGATGCTTGCAGACCTTTGCTCTGGGCAGCCCTTCCTCCTGTAGATGTGGGGCCAGGCAAGGCCTGGGGGTCCCAAGTCTCGGCCAGGGAATTTCTTGCTCAGTGTTCCAAGCTGAGTCTCAGCCCCTCCCTCTGCACAGCAGCACCTGCCGGTTTGTGGAATCGTCACTTGCCTCACTGTAATTCCACTTAAGAGTCCAGTATTTCCTGGACTTTTTTTTTTTAAACATTGGGTTTTCTTGTGTGATCTAGCAATGAATAAAACATAAGAATTTGTTATGTTAGTTTATGTTCTGGTTGAGACCATAAACAAAGACTGCCATGAATTATAGTGCTAAGCAAAAAGGTGGGGGACAGCAGGTGTAGTGTGGCTGGCTGCTTTGCAGGTGTTGGTCACCGGGGGCCTGTGGTGGTAGCTCCATCGAGGGAGGCACACAGCCAGTGCAGCATGGGCCCTGCCTGGCACAGAGTGCCCAGAGCTCTGAAGGGCTTCGCTAGAGAGAGCCAGAAATCAGGCGTGGCTGAGGCCTGCAGACACGCACCAGGGTGATGGAGGACAGCGATTCTTTGTCTTGGACTCGCTTGTCTCCATTGATTCGAGCAGGATGAAATCCTCTCGGGGCGGGGCTTGGTTTACTTGCACAGAGGTGTGTGGTGCTGCCGTGCAGAACACAGCTGCCAAGTGTACAGAGGGGCTCGGTGTAAGCTGGCACCCTGCTGTTTTACCAGCTGCTTGGCAGGCATTCGGTCTTCCTGTCCGTGACCTGCAGAGGAGTACGTGTTTGGAGAGTAGTTGGATTTAGGAAGATAGGAAGACTTTGTGTTGATGAAACAGAGAGAAGTAGAAGAAATTCTTTGTATGTGGTGTCGTGTGGCTAAGCGATGGTCTGTGTGGAAACAGCGCAGGGTGTTCAGCTGCCTGAGAGGAGGGGCTGCGGCTGCCTGGGGCTCCAGGGGATGCACTGCTGACCGGGAACAGTGTGTGCTGAGCTGTGCTGGGGCAGGGCATAGCTGTGGAGAGGGATGGTAAAGGACAGGGCTGCCCCGCTGTGCCCGTGCACCAGGAGGCCACCGGAAGCAGTAGCTCATCCAGCGTCACCTCCTTCTCACACCCCTACACCTGTCCTGGCCCTAGCCTGCCAGTATGGCCATCTTCTTGGCCCTGCTGAATGGGCTGGTCCACCCTCATGAGTTGCTCCTTTTTGTTGTCAGCCCTGGTGCGAACCAGCCACAGCGGCCTCCTCCATGGCCTCCTGCTTTCTTTCAGTGCCAAGTCACAACAGAGTTTCAGAGGCAGTTTCTGTTTCTGTTCCTCTGAACTCACCTCTCAGTTGCAGTGTGCTCACTCTGGACCAAGTATGCTCCCCTGCACTGAAACCTTTCCCTTGGCTGCTCTCTTTTCTTCTGAAAAGCTAACAGTTATGCAAAAGACTGTCTCTCCTACTCAGGCTGAGGAACTTTATGTTACGCATGTCTCGTGCGGTTGACCATTGCCTAGGTAGGAGCTCTGACTGGGGCGGGCACCGTTGTCATCTTACGTCATCAGCGCCTTCTCAGGCCACCCTGTGCCTTTGGTAAACTCAAGTGCAGCTGAGTGCTGGGAGCCAGTTTGAAGGCTGTGTTGCGGTGACGCCTTGTAGCTTTCAGCAATGAAACGACACCTTTTGAGGAAAGCAATTTGGGACCTACTGGAAGAACTGCCTGCCTGCCTGCCGGTTGGTGCTCCCCAAATGTGAACCGAGTGCTCCTACAGAAAGATTCTAGGGGTGCTTTCACTGTGTGGAAGGGCTAAGTCCCTGGTGTCATCCAGCTGGTTCGCACTTTGGTCCTTAGTAAATTCATTGATTGTGAAATTATGAGCCCTAAGAGAGCTTCAGCTAATTTTGGAAAGTTGTTGCAAAGAATCAGTGGATAAAATAGCACCTTTATTTTACATACTTGGATTTCAGAACAAAATAAGCAAAACCCCCCACAATATGCAACACTGCAACTAAGCCCACTGTCAAAGTGAGGGGAGGGGATAGGGCTTGAGGGACGCCTGCCCAGAGCAAGGAGCTTGTGCAGAGTGCCAACACCTCGGCGTTTTTCACGAGTTTGTCGAAAGCGGCTTCTGAACGTGCAGCCCGTGTGAAGGAGTGACCACGAGAGGGCTTACGTGCCATTAGGAGGCTGGCGCTACTCCCAGTGCTTGGCAGGCAGGTGGCATAGCAGTGCCGTGGGAGTCGCATGAGGCTGCGGTCCTGGCTCCGGGATTTTGGCTTTCTGTGTGAGAATAACGGGTATGGGATGATAGTACAGCTCTGAGGGTTACAGGGAATTGAAGCGCACAGTGCCAGGGTATTGCAAGGACTCAGTATTAGAATTAGTTTTTAAATTTTTATTTTTTTAAAGTATGATTTGATAGTTTCATTCATGTTTGCCCATTTCTATTAGTTTTCTGTATTTTCCTTTTTTCTTAAGTACTATGTTTTTTAAAAGATTTATTTAGTTTTATTAGAAAAGCGGATATACAGAGATGAGGAGACACAAAGAGGAAGATCTTCCATCCGATGATTCACTCCCTAAGTGGCCACAACAGCTGGAGCTGAGCCAATCCAAAGCAGGAGCTAGGAGAGTCTTCCGGGTCTCCCACGTGGGTGCAGGGTCCCAAAGCTTTGAGCTGTCCTCGACTGCTTTCCGAGGCCAGAAGCAGGGAGCTGGATGGGAAGCAGGGCTGCCAGGATTAGAACAATGCCCATAAGGGATTCTGGCACGTGCAAAGCTAGGACTTTAACTGCTATGCTATTGCACCAGGCCCACTTTTTTTTTTTTTAAGATTTATTTTTACTGGAAAGATTTATAGAATGAAGGAGAGGCAGAGAAAAATCTTCCATCCTCTGGTTCACTTTACAAGTAGCCACAACGACTGGAGCTGAGCCGATCCTAAGGCAGGAGGTTCTCCCACGTGGGTGCAGGGTCCCAATGCTTTGGCCATCTTCTACTGCTTTCCCTGGTCACAAGCAGGGAGCTGAAAGGGAAGTGGGCCAGCTGGGATACAAACTGGCACCCATATGGGATTCCAGCACTTGCAAGGTGAGGACTTTAGCCACTTGGCTGCTGCGCTGGGGCCCAGCATTACTTTCTTTATAAAAACAGATTCTACTTATTTAAAGGCAGAGTTAGAGTTCTTCCATCTGCTGGTTTTCTCCCCCAGTAGCTGCAGCAGCTAGAGCTGGACTAAGTTGAAGTAAGTCGGGAATCGGCAATTTCTTCCACGTCTCCCAAGTGTGTACAGAGGGCCTAACCACTTAGGCCACTTAGCCTGCTTTCTAGGCTGTTAACAGGGAACTGGATCCACGTTGGAGCTGCAGGGACTCAAACCCAGGCTCATGGCGTCTGGGCGTCGCAGGCAGCGCTTTCCTTGCTGTAGTGCTGGCCCCAGAAGGAATGACACTGAAGGCAGAGTAGTTTAATTGCAATATAGGGTTTTGTAGTTTTAGAGGTGCTACCTTGAATCTAACCATATGGATGTGGAGTCCCATAGCAGCAGCTGTTAAATGCCTCTGCCTCATGCCCGCCTGCAGCCCTTCCTGTGCCAGTGGCAGCCTCGGGCCAAGGCTGGCCTGTGCCCTGTGACCTTCCCTCACTGGGACTGCTGAAAGCAAGCTGGCTAAAGGTGTATGGTGGGTAAGAATAGCTGCAGCCATTTTTCTAGACATCTGGTTTAGAATTTTACAGTTGTCTTCCATCTGTACAGATACATGATCTTTTTGAGTGACTCACTGTCTCCCTGCTCCCCTCCAACTAATAAAGGCCATTTAACTGGTCGCACTGACTACAGACTAATTTACAGGAGACGTTGCGGTGAAGATCCTTAAGGTTGTCGACCCGACGCCAGAGCAGCTCCAGGCCTTCCGAAACGAGGTGGCTGTCCTGCGGTGAGTTGGGCACTGACCTGTTCTGGCCGCCGAGTTGGAGGGAGACTGCAGAGAAAGTGGCTGCAGAGCCAGGGGCTGTGCCAGTCGGCGCTCGCGGCCTGCGCCCTGCCGCTGGGCAGTCCTCCCTCATGGGTGGAGGCCTCAGGCCCACAGAAGTGTCCCTTTTCATGAGAATAGCGTGTTCCATGCCCTCCAAGCACAATAACCTAAGTCCCGCCTGGCTCGGAGTTTTGATCTGAGGTAAGGAGAAACGGGTCCTATCTTTCAAGAACACGGTTAGATTGTCTTACTTGGGATTCCAAAACCTGCTTTTTTGGTCACTATTTAGATTTTGTAGGAGTTAAGTTGAATAGTTGCTCCTGCAGATGACAGGGCCTTTGACCCCTGGGGAGAGTGTGAAGACATACCCCTTTGGGCTCCTTGGTTTGCTCCCCAGCTGGCCTACCTGTGCCCTCTGCTGCGGAGTGTGGGGTTGTCCAGAACACAGAATCGGGTGCAAAGCATTTTCTTCCTTTTCCTCCCCAGCAAAACACGGCATGTGAACATCCTGCTCTTCATGGGGTACATGACAAAGGACAACCTGGCGATTGTGACCCAGTGGTGTGAGGGCAGCAGCCTCTACAAACATCTGCATGTCCAGGAGACCAAGTTCCAGATGTTCCAGCTAATTGACATCGCCCGCCAGACAGCTCAGGGCATGGAGTGAGTAGATGGTCTGTCATTCCCTGTGCCAGAGTCGGAAGAGCTTTCTAACCCCACCAAGTGATGCTGTGGTCCCTTGGCACAACCGAGAACAGGCCCCTAGGTCAGACAGCAGCAGCGAGCAGCTCCGGCTCCCCCTCCAGCCCAGCGGCCCTTTGGGTGCTCCCATTCAGGCTCCAGACGCTCCCCATGTTTTTTCCCACAACCTGAGAACACACTGGGGGTGGGGCTGCAGGCTTATCCCTTCTGCTGGGGTGGTGTGGTAGTACTACTGGGCATCTGAGCCTGGCCCATCCATAAGTGTACACCAGGGTTTGAGCAGATGTCGCTTTTGGGATTCCTCATTCCCTGTGTAAAGAACCCATGAAGGACTCCCTTCCCTGCGTCCTCAGATACCGGCCCTCCCGGCTGTCTGTGCTGTGAGGAGCGTGCAGGTGCACGGTGCGGCCAGGGGCCTGGGCTCCTCAGACCTTCATGTGAACACAGGTCTGTGGGCACTGCACGTACCAGGCTTGCCTGGGCCACAGAGTCCGTAGGAAGCTGCTCTCCCCCTTAAAGTGAGAGCCAGAGCTGTGCTCATCCAAAATCCAGGAGCCAGGAGCTCTTCTGGGTCTCCCACGTGGGTGCGGGGTCCAAGGCTTTGGGCCGTCTTCTGTTCCAGGCCCCAAGCAGGAAGCAGCCGGGACACGGACTGAGGCCCAAGGCAGCACTGTTGTGTGGGATGCCAGCATTGTCAGCAGCAGCTTGCCTTGCCTTTGATGTAGCTAAGAAATGGCCAGGATTACTTTCTAGGAAAATGCTTAGACCACAGTTTGCATACCATAAAATTCACTCTTTTAAGACGTATAGAGCTTGTGGTTTTTAGTTTTTGTAGAACTCTGCAGCCATTGGCATTTTTTAGAACATTCTTAGTCCCGAAAGCTGTACCCTCAGCAGTCATCCCAGCTTCGGAGTCTGGTTTGTCTCTGAATTTTACCTCCTGAGTACATTTCACGGAACTGGAATTTTTCTGAAGGTGTAACTTTTTTAAAAAAAGATTGATTTATTTTTATTGGAAAGGTGGATATGAAAAGAGGAGGAGAGACAGAGAGAAAGATCTTCCGTCAGATGGTTCACTCCCCAAGTGAGCGCAATGGCTGGAGCTGAGCCAATCCGAAGCCAGGAGCCAGGAGCTCTTCTGGGTCTCCCACACGGGTGCAGGGTTCCAAGGCTTTGGCCCGTCCTCCACTGTTTTGCCAGGCCACAAGCAGGGAGCTGGATGGGAAGCAGGGCTGCAGGGATTAGAACCAGCGACCATATGGTATTCTGGCACGTGCAAGGTGAGGACTTTAACCACTACACTATCACGCTGGGCCCTGGAGCAGTAACAAATATCTAAGTTGTAGTCTTTTGTTCCTGGCTCAAGGTTTTGTAGCCTGTTCAAGGTTAGTGCAGGCTGTCGGCACTTTCTTCTTTTCTGGCCTGAGTGGTACTCCATTGTGTGGGTTTGGTGCTTTAGTCACTCCTCAGTTGAGAAACATCTGGATTGTCAGAACTGCTGTGGGGTCCAACTGATGCTCCACAAGGTGAGAGCGCACTTACACAACACCCTCCCCTTCAAGGGGAGTCGGGCCGTGTGCCCCTGTGAGACGCCTGGCCGGGACCCCGCAGGCCTCCACAGCTGTAGTTCAGAACAGCTCTCCAGCCAAACGGTTGTTAAAACTTTCTTTTCCCTTCACAGCTACTTGCACGCGAAGAACATCATCCATAGAGACATGAAATCCAACAGTATCCTTCAGTTGCCGGCTCTCTGCCTCCTGCCTTCGGATGCGGGGGACCACGACGCTTGGATCACAGTGGGCTTGGATCGGGGCTAGCACTTTTTTAGGAAAACAAGCAAAAATCAGGAGGAAACAAAGTCTCCCAAGGCCGTCCGTGGTGCTCAGGGAGCCGCCTCGGGACGTCCCTCTGACGTGGCAGATGCTCACGGAGCTGCTTGTGTGAGGTTAAACTTGAGAGTCGTGTCCGGCTTCGCAGTGTTCACTCCGTGTAACCGGATGGGGTTCCGGCTTTTGTGCTTCTTTCTAGTTGGTGGATAGTGTGTATCTCATCAGAAAATAGCTACGCGCTAAATGTTGTAAGACTTCCTTATTTTAAATTGTCTGTTTTCAGCTGTGGAAATGGTTTCCAGAGGGAGTCCTTGGCCCTTTGTAAGGCTTAATGTATTTTTACAAAATTGGAATAGACGATGAATAGAGCTGTTTTATGCTACAAACAATAACATCTAACAGTTTCGAGTTCGCCACTCTGCCAGCCCTGAGCTTCTGGGCCATTACAAGGCACCTGCTTGTTTTGTTTTTTTTTAATGTACTTTTATTTGAAAGGCAGGTTTACAGAGATTTTCTTTCTACTGGTTCATTCCGCAAATGGCTATAGTAGCCAGAGCTGAGCTGTTCATCTCTAACTGGGAGCCAGGAGCTTTTTTCAGTTCTCCTACATGAGTGCAGAGTTCAAAAGACTCCATCCTCCACCGCTTCCCCAGGCCACAGCAGAGAACTGGACTGGAAGTGGGGCAGCTGGGACACGAACCAGCACCTGTCTGGGCTCCCAGTGCCATGGAGTGGACTGCACTGGCCCCTGGGCATCTAGTTTAGACATGACAGCCTAGTTTAGGTGTGTCACACGGAGCACCTTTTGGTGGTGGGTGATTTGGGGCAACCACACACTACCACAGTCGCAGTCACTGCAGGTTTGAAGAGTGAATTAGACACCTGCACACAGATCCCAGGATGTGAACCGTGTGACTGCCCTTGGTTCTGCACGTGTGTGAAATCAGCAGTGACGGCGTGGCCGCAGGTAGCATGTCAGCATCCACCCACGTTATCTGCTCTCCTGAGGGTGGATGCAGGCACAGAGGACTTGGGGCACTGACGCCAGTCTTGTAGCAGCCCTGGCACAGCCTGTGCTGCCAGCCGTGGTTTAAGGCACCTGCTCTGCCTGGGTTCTCACAAGCCCTCAGACCTGCCTCCCAGATAGGCAGCCAGCCAGAGCAGCAGAGCGGACACTTGCCCTTATCTTTATGGCTGAAGTCTTGCAGCCTGAGCAATGTCTACTTGTTTCCTACGAGTAGTTGTTTGAAAGTATTTTAGGAATATTTTCAGAAACCTAGTAACTTCTGCAGTGCTATGTCTGGGACAGAGATAAGGAGAGTTAATTGTATTATAAAGAACTTTGGGGGCCCAGTGAAGAAGCCTAGTGGCTGAATCTTCACCTTGCAATGGCTGGGATGTCATATTGGTGCCTATTCATGCCCTGGCTGCTCCACTTCCCATCCAGCTCACTGCCTGTGGCCTGGAAAATCAGTAGAGGATGGCAAAAAGCTTTGGGACCCTGCACCCGTGTGGGAGACCTGGAAGTTCCTGGCTCCTGACTTCTGATTAGTTCAGTTCCAGCCATTGCAGCCACTTGGGGAGTGAACCAGCGGACAGAAGATTTTTCTCTCTATATATAAATCTACCTTTCCAGTAAAAAACCAAACAAACAAAAAACCCCAGATCTTTGGGAAAAAAGAACTTTTAAGAAGTTCTTCTAAATAAACGTGATGGCTTTTTTGAAACAGCATCCTTAACAGGCATTGAGATATATTTCTTCATGAAGGCTTGACGGTGAAAATCGGTGATTTTGGTTTGGCGACAGTGAAGTCACGGTGGAGTGGTTCCCAACAGGTTGAACAACCGACCGGCTCCGTTCTGTGGATGGTGAGGAAGCCAGGTTCCCAGTGGCAGTGGGGTAGAGAGGGTTGGTCTGTGCCTTTGCCCCCTCGTGTCACCCTGTGTCAAATGTGAGCTTCTTTGAGGAAACTAGAAATAGGAGGCATACCACCCGGACAGGTGTGAGCAAGCCAGGCACCGGCTGTGCTCAGACTGGGTCAGAGACCAGGATTCAGAGTGAAGGCCTCGGCCCTGGGTGTGTGGGGGCCCCTGGCGATTGCGCACTCTGCTCCCGCAGGCTCCCGAGGTGATCCGGATGCAGGACAACAACCCGTTCAGCTTCCAGTCGGACGTGTACTCGTACGGCATCGTGCTGTACGAGCTGATGACGGGGGAGCTCCCCTACTCGCACATCAACAACCGCGATCAGGTGAGGCAGCCTGTCTGCAACGGGGAATCCTGGGCCTTCAGCCCAGCAGGGAGAAGGTTAAGGTGTGACCTCTGTTCCTTACTTAGATCATCTTCATGGTGGGCCGAGGGTATGCGTCCCCAGATCTTAGCAAGCTGTACAAGAACTGCCCCAAAGCAATGAAGAGGCTGGTGGCTGACTGTGTGAAGAAAGTTAAAGAAGAGAGGCCCCTGTTCCCCCAGGTAAGCCATGTCGCGTAAGACCGCTGGAGCGGAATTAAAGCAGGTGTTCCTGGGGCTGTGTGGTGAGGGAGGGGTGAGATGGTACAGAGGAAGTTGGCTGTGCACCTGATCCAGAGCAGCGGCTCAGTCGGCACGCAGCCCCAGCGAGCTCCCTTCCGGCGGCTGTTTCAGATCCTGTCCTCCATTGAGCTGCTCCAACACTCTCTGCCGAAAATCAACCGGAGCGCCTCGGAGCCCTCCCTGCACCGGGCGGCGCACACAGAGGACATCAACGCCTGCACGCTTACCACGTCTCCGAGGCTGCCTGTCTTCTAGCTGCTGCACCTGTGCTCCGTGGCCAGGGGAGGCAGGAGCTGCAGGCGCCACTTTGCCTCCCTTTCTTTGGGGGCAGAAGGGTTAGCGTGTTTTCAGAGAAGCTGCTGCTAAAGACCTTCCAGACTACTCACTGGGCCTTAACTTGATGTTGCCTTCTTGTCTGCCCTCTGGCCCCGGGAGAAGCCAGGCACCATGCTGGCCTGCTCCCTCCTCCCGCTCTCCAGGATGCGAGTCCGGCTGTGGAAGTAGATGTGGATGGCAACACAGGAGCTGGCCCAGCTGTTAGCTCAGTGCGCCTTCTTCAGAACCCTGGAAGGGCAAGCAAAGGTAGTTCCCAGGCCTTCCATGGGGACACACGTGGAGCTGGAGCCCAGCTGCGGTGAGGAATGCACATCACGGCAGGGACTCTGGGTGATGGTGGTGTGGCCCCAGTTTTGCACCTAATGCACCCAACAACCCAGGACTGCACGACCTCGGCTGCCTGAAGGAGCCTGCTTGGTACTAAGGGAAGGTGACTGGGGACGCACACCCCACCGGTCACAGTCTCCGAGGGGTCCAGTGTGCTGGGATTTTCCAAGCAAGGCACTGGGACTGGCACCTCACCCCACCCCACCCCACCCCTACACACCCCCCCGCCCACCCTTCTGGGAGCAGTCCTCTATCATGCTAAATTTTGTCTTCCAGGAACTGCCCCTATGGGGCGGGCCACAGGGCCGCCTTGTCTCTAGTCATATCATTGTGTATGCAAGGAAGCCAGCAAGAGGTTTTCTTGATGATTTGGGTTTTAATTTTGTTTTTATTGCGCCTGACAAAATACAGTTATCTCATGGTTCTTCAATTATGTTATTTTAATAAAATAAATTAAATTTAGGTTTAACGGCTGTTACCTTCTTTTAAAGCAATACTGAACGAGAGCTCAGAGCGTGAACTGTCTCCTTGTTCACTCCCTTCTGAAGCCGAATTCAAGAAGCAGGAAGTAAGTTTAGCTGAGCCTGTTATGTCCTTTCCACTTTAGTGAAGGGTCAACTCAATTCATCAAGCAAAAAGCATTCTAAACTCTGGTAAGAGATCTCCTGGCCAAGCTTCAATGTATTTGGTACATCTAGCTGCACTCAGGCTTGGAGTGAGCGTGATTCAAAAGCTTGCGTGTGCACCAGCTGCCTGCCAGTGGAGCCAGGTAAGGATGACGGAGGCTTTTTATGTTTAAGTGGGTGTGTGTTCTGAGCCCTTGGATAAGGTTACTGCACTGGGCATGCGCTCCTGGCTGGGGCCCCACCTGGCTGCCTCCTAACTGCTTGCTCTACACCCTTAGGAAGGCCAAGGCCACGGCCACCAGTGCTCCCTTCATCACCTGGGCGACCCGAAAGGTTGGCCCGCAGGGCAACCTCGCACGACACAGAACTCTCCTGCTTGGGCCAAAGAATCCCTTTGGGCTGCTGTGAGTTTGGGGGAGAGAGATGGGGAAGGCCCGCAGCTGATTTTGTTGGAATGCTCTCCATCTGCACGCTTCCTGTGGTCTGAAGGGCTGGAGGCACAACTAAGCCGCCAAGTAGAAAGAGTACGTGTCCACATGCTCAGTGGGGTACTTTATATCCTTCACTCTTGCCAGGGCTCTAGGAGGGGGCAGTGGATGAGGCCAAGGGCAAGCACAGCCCCACTCAACTCCAAGCAACACTCCACATCAGGCCGCACAGCAGGGGGCTCGGCCCACCCTTGCTGAGGGGGAAGGTTTCGGCCAGCGGGGCCTGTGATGAACGGGACAGGCAGTGACTGCTCAGGGTTCTGATGACTCCACTCCGGAAAGGTGCATGAAGAGGTCCCCAAGCTCTGTCACATCAACATCATCAGTGTTGGGGACATGTTGGCTTTCTCGGTTCTCGATGAAATCCCAGAGCCGCACTGAGTTAAAGAACTGCAAAGACAGCCAGCACACATGCAGGGTTACTGCTTAGGGCAACAGGCAGGGAGGCTGTGTAGCTTGTTCTGGTCCTTTCCTGCGGCCAGAACTACATTAGAAAACAGCCCTGGGAGTGACCACCCAGGGCGGCCTCAGCCCAAGGGGCTGCTGAGCCCTTACCCTCACGGTGCCTTCAGAGCTGAGCTGTTTCCGCGGCTTCTCGGGCTCTGCCAGCCGCCCATCTGGGTAAGCATGGCGGTAAAGACATTTGCTTCCAAATGGGCAGGTCCCCTTGCCTTGCTCAAAGTATTTACAAGCTTTTTTTCTGAAAGGAAGACAATGAAAAGGTTGGTAAGCATAATGGGAGCTCGATCACCCTCGTGCTCCAGGACAGGTGAATGACAGCGGGCCACACACAGCTCAGACCCCATTTTGCAAAAGCTCCCATGGGATGTGAAAATCTTGCACAGAATGTCAACCTGGGGCTCCACTTCCCATCCAGTTCCCCACTTATGTCCTGGGAAAGCAGCAGAGGATGCTTGGGCCCTCGCACCCACGTGGGAGACCCAGAAGCTCCTGCTTTGGCATTGCAGCCATGTGGAGAGTGAACCAGTAGATGGAAAGTCTTTGTCTCTCCTCTGAAAAATCTGTTTTTCAAATAAAAATAAATCTATCCCTGGAGACGAGCAGAGATCTTTCATCTGCTGCTCATGACAGCTCTGTGCCATGACGCTGGCACGTACCACTCTGCCAAGAATGCCTCTGCTTGTCATTTGCCTGCTGGAGTTCGATCTTTATCAATTCTTAAAAAAACCTCTCACCTACTGGTTCACTTCCTGGATGGAGTTGTGGGTGCAGGGGCCCAAGGACTCTGGCCAGAATGTTTTCCCAGAGTTCAGCCAAGAGGAGAGTAGCTAGAGCCTGATCTGGTGCTTATGAGATGCCAGTATCTCTTAGCTAGTTTTCTGAACTGGCTTGTAGGTTTTCCAGTAGGAAACGGAGGCAGAACTAACCAGGGCCCGGTGAGCAAGCGCTGACACCTCGGAAGAAGTGTCTCTACACGCCACGGCTCAGGTCCTTAGGCAGCCAGCCCGGCTGGCACTGATACCTACTCAGGTGAGCTGTCGTGAAGGAGGCAGTACTCTTGGGGACAGGGAGGACTTCAGGTTTAGGGCTGCTCGGGCCAGTCAGCAACATGGATTCTATCTGGGAGCTGACCTGGGGGCAGGTCTGGTTCTGCTGCGGAGACGGTGATGCTGCTTCCAGCAGCTCCAGGGGATCCTTGGTTGCAGCAAGTGACCCTCCTGGCTCACCCTCTTCCTCTCCATGGACTCGGGACCCACCCGAGACCCGGTTTTTTCCCTCCCATTTCCATGGCAAGTGTTGGTTCCACATTCTAGCTGTTAGGTTACAGTATATGCCAAGTTTTCCATCAGAATTGACACACCCTATACCTTAGCCAGTACGCTTCGTTACTGGCTTCTGCACCACAGGATGGGGTGTCCCATGTTTTGTTTACAAGGTAAGAATATCACTTCTGCCTTTAAAACTCTAAGCAGAAAAATTGGTTTTATGTTTTCCCAGACTTAGTATTTCCGATTCTTGCACATTTTGTAATATTTCTATAGATTTGGCATCCTTCAGCCTGAAAATACTCGGGTGGGGGGAAAGGTGCTGTGTCTGCCTGCCTGCGACAGGTCAGCGGCGCCTGAGGGGGCTCAGTTGCCGTGGCTGGGGGCCTGGAGGAGCCCCGTACTACACGCTCAGCTCCAGCCTCAAACGAGCCATTGTTTCATTCTGCTTTTCTCATCCTGGGACCACTTAGGTATTTCAGGCTTCTGGAAGCTGTTCTATGGTTCTCTTCGGCTGTCTTTTTCCCCCTCCCATCCCCTCTTCATTCCTTGAACTTGTAGTTAGTGTGGCTGTGTTGAAACCTTTGTCATGTTGGTGTCATGGTGAGCGTCCCTTAAGGATGGGTCTCTCAAAGCTGTACACCATCACAGCACTCTGCCCCCTTCCTCACACAGCGGGAAGCCCCCACCTGCCACCTGTGCCCAGGTATCCTGTCTCAATCATCTTGGTCCCGGGCTGGCCACTTCCCTGAAGTACTAGGTGGGGAGGTGACCCCGCACCGATGGCCTGTCGGCTCTATCCTCGCCTCTCCCTCTGCCTGCACTGGGTGCTCGGGAGGTGCCGAGGGACACAGCAGCCCGATGGCGTACTGATCCTAGTGCCACAGAGCCGTCCTCCTCTGTATCCCAAGCCTAGCTTGGCGCCTGTGGTCCCCGGTGCCAAGAGGATCCTTAGAAACAAGAACCAGGCACTTACCCCATTCCCTGTTTGAAAGCTTCAATCAACTCATTCTTTTTGTTCTGATCTTCTACCCAGTACACACTTGGAATTACAAACTCGGATATCACCCGGCATTCTGGGCAAGACCTGCAATAGGAACAAGTTAGTCTCGGCACACACCACACGTAAACCCCTTCTCCAGTGGGTCACTGCCAGAGACATTTCAACACAGCTTCTGAGGCACTGGACATTTTAGGGTCTGGTATTGTGGCATCCTACATGGGCACCGGCTTGAGTCCCAGCTGCCCCACTTCGTAACCTGCCCTCTGCTAATGGCCTGGGACAGCACATGACTCGGGTGCTGGGGCCCCCGTATCCACGCGGGACCCCCAAGAGCCACTCCTGGCCTGGGCTAACCCAGCTCTGGCTATTGTGATTATGCGGGGTGTGGGCCGGTGAATGGAAGATTCCTCTAATTGTGCCTTTCAATAAACTAAAATGAACAAAGCACTCACTTCCCCGAAATAGCCTCGAGAAGTGCGTCAGCAGCTGCTTAACATCATTAACAGGTGTATGTAAATTAGGACCACAGTGAGATGTCGCTTCACCCATGACTATGCTTAAAACCAGAAATAAAACACAAGGGTGAGGCAACAAAGCAGGGACCTTCTGTCACTGCTGCTGGCAGCTGTCAGATGACAGACACTTGACACAGTTCATGTGTAGCCCAGCAATCTCCCTCTTAGGCACATGCCAAGAAAGCATCTCAAACCCACACAAAGATGTGCACTCAGATATCTGCACCATGACCGAAACAGCAGCAGCCTAAAAATCCACCAGCTGATGGACAGATGTGGCTCAGCTCATCAGTGGATTCTAGTTTTCGCTCACTTGCGGGAACAAATCTGTCAGGGCTCGGGCGCTGCAGACACCATGGCAGTGCCCAGCGGGGGGACACTCCCCTCCCCTGGGGCCGGGGGGCAAGCCACATGAAAAAATAACCAGCGAGGACAGAGGTGCGAGTGACCCAGACAGGAAGAGGTCAACGGTGAGTGCAGCGGGATGATGGAGACCCTGGGGCCACGGCTGGGACTCCTGCCTCGGCGCTTTACGACCACGCCACTCCAACTGTGCGTGTTACTTCGCACACAGCATGTGCCTTTAGGCAAATGCCCTGACCTTTCACCTCCGTTAACCTGTGCCAGGAGAGGCTGCTCACTAGAGCTGGCTAGTCCAGACCTCAGGAAACCTCTGTTGGGCACACAGGCTTACATGCCAGGCATTGTTTAAAAAAAAATTAGAGGATTAAAGATTTATTTTTATTAGAAAGGCAGATATACAGAGGAGGAATAGAGACAGCGAGGAAGTTCTTCCGTACAATTACTCACTCCCCAAGTGACCATATGGGATCCTGAATTATGTGAGGCAAGGACCTTAACCACTAGGCTATCGCACCAGGCTCCGTCCGATTTTTTTAGGTAAAAAAAGATTAAAGTCCAGAGAGGGTTAACAACATAGCCAGGCGCAATGGCTCAACTGGCTACTCCAAGTGCCAGGACCCCATTTGGAAGGCCGTATGTGTCCGAGCTGCTGGTCCACTTCCCTTTTAGCTCCCTGCTTGTGGCCTGGGAAAGCAGTGGAGGATGCTCCAAAGCTTTGGGACCCTGTACCCACGTGGGAGACATGGAAGAGGCTCCTGGCCTTGGATCTGCTTAGCTCTGACCACTGCAGCCATTTGAAGAGTGAACCAAGATACACAAGCTCCGTCTCTCCTCGTCTCTGTAAATCTGATCTGCCTTTCCAATAAAAAATCTTAAAAAGGGTCGGGGGGGGGGCAGGCACCCGGCCTGGGCAGGGAATCGGGGACCGCCGTCCTGGATCCGCCGCAGGCCCCAAGTGTGCGGGAAAGGCAGAGGGCCAGGGCCCCGCTGGACTTACTTGATAATTGGGTTTTCAAACTGCTTGGCGCAGCGCCACTGGCGGATGCAGGACAGGCAGTAGGTGTGGTTGCAGTTGGAGAGGATCCCGAACCTCCTCTCGGAGGCGGACGCCTTCTCCAGGACCACCTCCATGCAGATGCTGCACACCTTGTCCTGACTCGCCTGGAAGGCGAAGGCCTTCTCCATCTCGTGCTCGAAGGTGGACATGCACTTCTGCGGGGGAGAGGGGAAGGGAGACGCCACGGAGTGAGGTGCCCGAGGCGGCCAGCACACCGCGCTGCCCACGCTCCTGCAGGCAGGGCCCGCTCCCCGGCAGCGTTCCTCAGGCGGGCGGGCCTCCTGGCCCTCCGGCCACGGCCTTTCCCAGCTGCAGCAGAAACGCGGAGTAATCACCTGAGCACCCGGGGGCGCAGCACGATCCCTCCCCAGCGTCACAGGTCCAGCACTCCTGCACCAAGTCCACCCCGAGTCCTGCCCCTGGGCCGGCACATGTCCCAGCCCCGGGCGTCCCCAGACGACAGACCCCTCCGAGACGGGCGAGGAAAGCTCTGGTTCTGTGCTCACTGACCCGTCCCCAGGGAAGACGTGAAAACGGACAGGTGCACCTTCCCACGGCACAGCCCCGCTGCAGGGAGCCTTTCTCCGACAGGCAGCCGTGCCCTCAGCCGCCCGCCAGGCGGCAGTAATGAGGAGGAGCCTGACCCCTACCCCTCCCTACAGCCACGAGCTCCTGTGTGCCAGGCGGAACCCCACAGGGAGGCCAGGCCTTCAGACCCTGACCACCCATGACCTACAGGGCCCTGCAGCACTTGGCCCTGTTCTGCCGTGGGGTGTCTCAGCTTTTCCAGTCGCCGTGACACATCCTCCAAGAAGGGAGGACAGTGTGGGGCACCATCATGCAAGGCTCTACCTGTCTGCAGCCGCAGCTCTTCCTTCTAAAGAAATCAAAACCTGCAAACACACAGCTGGAAACAGGATGCAAGGATGCAGGGAGCAGGCAGTGTGCAATGCAATGAGCTCAGCTCCGTCAGTGCTGCGGCAGGCACAGCCATGTCGGCCATACCTTCTCGTGCTCCTTCCTCTGCTCGGGGTCGAAAGGGTGCAGGACCGGCAGCCTGCAGATGTCGCACACGTCGCCGTGCAGGTACACGCAGGCCGCCCCGAAGCGGCACGTCCCGGCCGCCGCGTACGGGCACAGCTGCTGCTCGCAGCCGTACGAGCTGCCGGCCTCCAGCTCGTCCAGGCCGCTCCGGATGGCGTCCAGGTACGAGTGCGGCTTCGCCTCCAGGCTGCTGTGGGCATCGCTGCAGCCGCCGGCACCGCTCGCCACACTGGGAGGGCTTTTCTCCTCGGCCAGGCCAGAGAGATCTTAACAGAAAACACACGAGGCACACCCGTGAAAACCCACTACGCCAACAGCCAGAGCCTAACAAGCTGCGTGCCTTTCTCCAAGGCATTCCATCTGGAACAGGCCAAAAGGGAAGAGAATGACTGGTTTACAGTGGTCAGAGACCATTTCTTCAGTACTAACAGTGGAACAGAAGGACACGGCAAGATAAAAAAGCAAGAAAAACATGGTTTGTTTACATATCTACCACCAAACTGGCAGGAGCAAAATGTCATCCATGGACCAATGCTAGCGCAAAAATTAACCAACTCAAAGACAATTTCAAATGAGGTTAGTGGAATGCAGGGGGTTCCCTTTAAGCCCATCGAGTTCCGTGTCTGCATGGAGCCCTGCCTGTGCAGACAGCACGCTCGGCGGCCTCGGCTCCTTGCTGAGGGCGGAACCGGCCTGCCTCACGGGCCATCGGGGCTGACCGCTGCTCACAGCGCTCTGGGTGTGCAGCCTGACCGCCCCGTCTCGGGAAGCGACACTGTCCAAGTCCTAACACAGTGCTGGTTCCATCTGCGCCAAGGTCCCCCAAAATACCACGTGCTGGTCAGCAGAGGCTGTGCCCACTGACGTCATGCCAAACAGTGGCACACGCTCCTTCTCAGGCAGCTTTCCAAATCAGGCGAGGCCGCACCCCACCCTGGAGTGCTGGCTGCAGTCCAGGTAGGTTCCGCCCTGACCAGCTCCTAGCTCCTGTGCCTAGCAAGGCAGTGGCAGGTGGCTCAAGGGCCCCGGTACCTACCACCATGTGGGAAACCAGGCTACAGCCAGTCCCCGGCATGGCTGCTCTGCCATATGGGAAGTGAACCATTAGACGGCAGAGGGAGGACCCCAGCTCTGCTTTTCAAATGAGTAAACCCTAAAACCCCAAAACCAAGGCCAAAAAAAGAAAAAAATGATGGGAGTGGGTGTTTGGATTAGTAGTCAATGCACTCACAGGTCTGTCACTGCTTTGCAAATTCATATTTTAAAAAATGTTAAGCAAGTCTCGAAGTCATCTGCTCACTTACTTCTGTCTCTAAGCACCAATGTTCTCTTCTCACGCTTCCCAGGTTCGGGCGGGTGAGTTGTCACCAGAGACACGGTGAGGTCGGCAGCGCGAGGGCCGTGGAAGGCTGCCGAGGGCCCGGCGGGAGGCAGGGCCCCCCCGGTGCCAGCCGCTGCGGCCGAGGGCCTCGTGTGGTCATACCTAGACAAAACGCGGCTCGTGTCAGACACGCCGACTGCCCCTGTGGCGGGCGGGCACGCAGCAACCCCCTTCCCATGCTTTAGACCCTCAATTCCACTGCATGCACTTTGGTGCCAGGTACATCTGCTGCCCCCCACCCTACGGGACCTGAAGGGCCTGCCCACCTGGGCGCCTCCAAGTTCTGCAGTTAATCCCCCGGGGTCTGACTGCCCCAGGGCCCTTCAGGCTGGTGTCCCCAGGATGGTGACAAGGGCCAACCTGCCAGCAGACGGGGGAGAGGGAGGCTGGGCCCACCACCGTGCCCCCACTGTGCCACCATCACGGACACGGGAGAGCAGCTCTATACTACCAGAGGCTGGGAGACCTTCTTGTCATCAGAAAGGTGGGGCAGGCACCTGGTGCAGCCAGGCAAGTCGCTCCACTTACAGTGCGGCTTCCTGCTAATGTGTCCCCTGGGGGCAGCAGGTGCCGACTCAAGTACACCGTCCTTGCCACCCACAAGGCGGCCCCAGCTCTAATCCCAGCCCTAGCTGTTGTGGGTACCTGGAGTGAGAACCACAAGATGGACAATCTCTCTCTCTGCCCTTCAAATAAACAAACAATTAAATAAAAATTCCCCTCATTAAGAACCAGGTTCTAGACGCAGGGCCTGAGCCCCTGCGGCAGTCCAGGCGGGGTCGAGGCGGGCCAGCCGCGGAGTCCTTGCCTGCACCGCGTTCCGTAGGCGCAGCAGCCCTTCTGATAGTACTTGCAGATGGTGGACGGCTTGCTGTTTGCCAAGTCGTGGGAGAAGAGGCACTGGCTTCCTTCCCGACACACACCATGCATAAAGTACCTGCAGAGACACCAGCACCCGCAGCTTAGAAACACACTGTGCTCCGGAAAACCAGCACTCCTGGAGCCTCGCACATCAATTCCTCCAGAGCTTATTACATGTCAGGACGATTAAGCATTGGATGTATTTACACATCTCTGCCCCTGTAACCGAGTCACAGCTTCCCTGGAACTTGCTGCCGTCCTCTGGGAGGTGAAGGTTACCCTGTCTGCTTCACAGGGCACCTGTGCCCATCATCAAATGAAACAATGTGACATCAAAATATATACACAGACCTGGCGCGATGGCATAATGGTTAAGGCCCTCACCTTGAACGTGCCCAGATCCCATACAGGCACCAGCTCTAATCCCAGCAGCTCCACTTCCCATCCAGCTCCCTGCTCGTGGCCTGGGAAAGCAGTCGAGGATGGCCCGAAGCTTTGGGACCCTGCACCCACATGGGAGACCCAGAAAGAAGTTCCTGGCTCCTGGCTTTGGATTGGCACAGCACCGGCCACTGCGGCCACTTGGGGAGTCAATCAGCAGATGGACATCTTCCTCTCTGTCTCTCCTCCTTTCTATATATCTGACTTTCCAATAAAATAAATAAATCTTAAAAATATACATACATATACACACACGCCAGAATGGTCACAAATAATGTGACATCAAAACATATACATGCAAAAACGTTCCAGGAGGACCTGATGTGATGGCTCAATTGGCTAATCCTCTACCTGCAAGTGCCAGGGGCCCATATGGCACTGGTTCCTGTCCTGGCTGCTCCATTTCCCATCCAACTTCCTGCTTTGGGCTTGGGAAAGCAGCAAAGGATGACCCAAAGCCTTGGGACCCTGCACCCTTGTGGAAAACCTGGAAGAGGCTCTTGGCTCCTGATCGGCTGGGTTCTGGCCACTATGGTCTCTTGGGGAGTGAACCAGTAGATGGAAGATCTTTCTCCTTTTCTCTGCAGATCTGCCTTTCCAATAAAGATAAATAAAATCTTAACCAAAAAAGCATGTTCCAGGGGAGAGTCTGATTCTTGGCCTTGAAAGCATAACTGGCACAGAAGCAAGAGGAGATGGTGAGATTCCGGCCAGCCCGAGGGGAGAGCCCTTGCTGAAGCCCCCACGGCAGCAGGGGCCCCGGCGCGACCTGCCCGGGCAGGAGGCCTCGACCAGTTCCAGGGCAGAACAGTGCTTTGGCTCCTCCCTTAGGACGCGGAAATACAAGCTTCAGCGAAACCGAGAGGACAGCCAAGAACTGCTGTCACTCATAACACTCCTGAATGCTCCTGAAAGACGACAATAAAATCCACATGCTTAGAGCCACTTCCAGCTGGCAGCCAGGATATGCCAAAAAGCCGAAGCACATGACTTGCAAGCCAGGGGAAAAACCAGTAGAGGAGGAGACGGTGGAGTGGGCAGACGGGCACAACAGCCGCTGTCGCAAACACGCTCCACCCTCACGCGCTAATGTAATGCGGAGAACAGGAGCTGGAAAGCCACCCAAGCAACCCCAAGCTAACAGAGTCTGCAATGGAAACAGCAGCGAACGGGGCACACGCTTGGCCCAGCAGTCAGGATGCCAGTGCCAGGGACCCCAGGGGAGCCTGACCCAGACCAGGCCCCGCCTCCAGTACCAGCTGCCTGCCAACTGCAGTGCAGACATCAAAACAGACTCTGGCTCCTAGCTTTGGCCCGGCCCAATTGTGACTGGTAGGCATGAGACGAGTGAGCCAGTGGATGACCTTTTGAACAAGTGAAAAAAAAAAAAAAAAAGGCAAAGAAAGTGGGGCCAGCGCCATGGTTCAACTGGATAATCCTCTGCCTTGCAGGCGCAGGCGTCCCGTACTGGGTGCCAGCTCAGGTTGTAGCCACTCCACCTCCTATCCCGTTCCCTGCTTATGGCCTTCAAAAGCAGCAGAGGATGGATGGTCCAAGTTCTTAGGGCCCTGCGGGAGACCCAGAGGAAGATTCTGGCTCGTGGCTTCAGATCAACTCGGCTCCAGCTGCTGCGGCCATTTTGGAGTGAGCCAGAGGCCGGGGGATCTTTGTCTCCCCTCCTCTCTATAACTCTGCCTTTCCAATAAAGGAGAGTAAATCTTAAAAAGGGCTATAGTGCAGTACCACACACACACGACCGACTGACTCTCGGAAAAGGTGACAGGGCAATTCGACAGATGAGGACAGATCCAACCTTTCTTTTTTCACTGTATTTCTCTGCGAGGTCAAGAGCAGCAGAGCGTCCAGCCACTGGCTCACTCCCCGGTGCCCACGTGCGAGCTGCCAGCTCAGTCCAGGTGCCCCTAGGGAGCCTAGCGGGGCCATCACTGCTACTTCCCAGTCTGCACTGGCGGGAGGCTGGGCGCGGGAGCCGGAGTGGAGAATGAAACCCATGCATGCCCAAACCCTAAACACACGTGTTCCTGGACCAGAATCTACCTGAAACAAGGACCTCAACTATCCTGTGTGATGTGATGTGTCCCAACAGGAATAACGCCATGACCTGTGATGGATTCTAAACACGTAACCTTGGATCTAACACCCAGTTTATACAAAACACAGAAAACTGAAAAGAAGCTTAAAAACCATCATGACAGGGCCAGCCAGATGGCTCAATTGGCTAATTCTTAGCCTGCAAGAGCTGGCAGCCCCATTTCCCATCCAGCTCCCTGCTTGTGGCCTGGAAAAGCAGTGAAGGACGGCCCAAAGCCTTGGGACCCTGCACCACTTGAGAGACCTGGGTCAAGCTCCTGGTTTCAGCCTAAACCAGTCCCAGCTATCGCAGTCATTTGGGGAGTGAACCAGTGAATCTCTCTCTCTAACTCTGCCTTTCAAATAAAATTAAGATCCTAATTTTATTAAAATGTAAAATTGGGGCCCAGTACAGTAGCCTTGCTGCTAAAGTCCTCGCCTTGAATGCACCAGGATCCCACATAGGCACTGGTTCTAATCCCAGCAGGCCCTGCTTCCCATTCAGCTCCAGCTCCCTGCTTGTGGCCTGGGAAAGCAGAGGAGGACGGCCCAAAGCCTTGGGACCCTGCACTGGCGTGGGAGACCTGGAAGACGCTCCTGGCTCCTGGCTTCAGACCGACTCTGCTGCAGCCACTGCAGCCACTTGGGGAGTGAATCATTGGACGGAAGATCTTCCTCTCTGTCGCACCTCCTCTCTGCACATCTGACTTTCCAATAAAAAATAAATAAATCTTTAAAAAATGATACTTAAACATGTTCTCTTGACAGAAAAAAAGGAATAGTACCCACCAAAACCAAAGGCAAATGTGAAGAACACCCCAGTGAAATAACAACAGAAGATTAAATCAATGAACAACCCATTGTTAAATTAATAGGACCAAATTGCCACCGTAATGGCTTAAACCCATATTAACCCTGAAATGTAAATAGCTTAAATGCATTAATCAAATGTCATAGATAAGTAGACTGGATTAAAGAAACAAAACCCATCTCTTTCTTGCCTACAGGAGACATATCTCACCAACAAAGATCAGCAGAAACTTTATCTCATGGATTTTGGTTTTTTTTTGAAGTTTCATCTCTTCAAAATTCTTTCGAATTAAATTCTTCACTGACTCATAGATCATACAGTTGTATCATTTTCTTCAAGAAGGTTCTTGATTTTCATTTCTTCAACAACACATTAGTCTTTCAATAGCATGCTATTTAACTTCATGGCGGTTTTAATTTTTTTTCTTCTGTTATTGATTATTATTGTGGCTTTTCATTTAAGGGGATGTATAGTAAGTGTGTAATGCAGACTGTCATATCCAGATGTGAGGATACAATGCGGTATGCATCCCTACTTCCAGAGATGGACTCCCAATGAAACTGTTCACTATATCCTGACAATAGGATGCTGGACTCTGCCATTGTCCCTGCCCGCAGCGATGGACATGTGACTGAGTATGAGGAGGGGTTTTGGGAAGGGGGTAAGGGAAATGCCAAGGCCTATGGAACTGTATCATAAAACGATAATAATAATTTTTAAAAAGTAGTAAAAAAAAAAACAAAATTGAGAGGCTCGAAACCATGGTATAGCAGGCTAAACCTCCGCCTGCAATGCTGGCATCCCGTATGGGCACTGGTGTAAGTTCCAGCTGTTCCTCTTCCAATCCTATCCCCTGCTGATGGCCTTGGAAAGCAATGGAAAATGACTCAGGTCCTAGGGAGCCTGCATCCATGCGAGACACCCAGAAGCAGCTTCTGGCATCCAGCACAGGAGCCTGGTGGTTAAAGTCCTCACCTTGCACATGCTGGGATCCCATATGGACACTGGTTTGTGTTCTGACAGTCCCGCTTCCCATCCAGCTCCCTGCTTGTGGCCTGGGAAAGCAGTCGAGAACGGCCAAAGCCTTGGGACCCTGCACCGGTGTGGGAGGCCTGGAAGATGCTCCTGGCTCTGGATTGGCTCAGCTCCAGCTATTGAGGCCACTTGGGGAATGAACCAGTGGGTGGAATATCTTCCTCTCCGTTTCTCCTCTTCTCTGTATATCTGACTTTGCAATAAAAATAAAATAAATATATATATAAAAAAGGGGAAGCTCCTGACTTCAAACTCGTCCAGCTCTGGCCGTGATGGTCATTTTGGGTGTGAACCAGCAAATCAAAGTCTGTTTCTCCTTCTAACTATGCCTTTCAAATGAAAAGTATTTTTTTAAAAAAGTAAAATTAAAAAGGGGGAACAGGGTTTGGATAACAGAGAATAAGTGTCCAAACACACACGCAGAGAGGTGGGCGTATCAGAGTCCCTGGTTTGAGTCCCGACGACTCCCCTTGGGTCCAGCTTCCGGCTGGTGCTTGGCCCTGTGTGGGAGAGCAGGATGGAGCTACTGCTTCCTGCTGGCTTGTCCCCTTCTCTCAGCTGTGGCAAATCTTTGGGGAGTGACCCAGTATAAGACTGCTCTGTCTCTCCCTGTTCCTCTGCCTTTGCAAATAAATTTAAGATTAAAAAAAAATTTACCATATGATCCAACATTCCATGCCTAGATGTTTACCAGAAAA